ATTTGTTATTATATCACTTTAGGTAAGCAATTGGAAAGGGAATTTTGAAGAGGAACAAAACAAAAAACAGAAAAATTTTGTTCAGTGCATTAATTCTGCCCCATATTTTTGTTTAAGAAGTCTTGCCTGGGAAAATAATTGATACCGGTTTGCAAAGGCAGATTTGTGGGGCAGTATCTGTGCCTAGAAATGACCTTTTAAAAACTCATTTCAGAGCGGAGTATAATGACAGTGTTGGTTTTTCTAGGCCATTTTTTGATTCTGTGTTTTCTTCTCACCTTATTACTGAGGTCTGAGTGTCAGCCACATGAAGAATCCTGGTGCTAAAATACACCTGTGAGAAAGGCTAGTGAAATTCTGCTTGATTTTTTTTTTCTTCCCCCCTCCTCCCTTGCATGGACTAGGTTTGTTTTTCTGAGTATGTTTTATTCAAAATGTCCTAGAACATGTTTTCTTTCCTTTCCCTTTTTTTTGGGGGGGTGGGGCGGGGGTGTAATGTTGAGTGAGAATTTGAAGTCATTAATATTTGTTATTTTGTTATAAGATCAAAGGTTGGCAATAGCATCACTCTGGTAAATATATTTTTAAAGACTATTGGCCAAGAGTGGTGGTACATGCCTGTAATTCCTGTACTAGGAGGAGGGAGGAGGAAGAGGAAGAGGAGGAGAAGGAGGGGGAGGAGAATGAGGGGGAGGAGGAGGAATCCAAGGTCATCCTCAGCTACGTAATGAGTTTGAGGCTAGCCTGGGCTCAGTAAGAAACCATCTTTAAAAAAAAACAAATAATAAACAAAGGGGTATTTCATGAATTCTTTCCAGTATTACTTTATGACCTCATCATTTTGTTTTTGTGAGATAGGGTCATAAAGCCTGGGCTGGTCTCACTCACTGTAACCAAAGCTGGCCTCGAGCTTCTTATTCTCCTGCTCCTACTGTCTCAAGTGCTAGGATTACAAGTGTGTGTCACCACTGGCCCATGACCCTCTGTCCTTTTATATAGTTGCTGCAAACTAAAAATTTTAAAAGTTTTCACTACTTTTAGTTACATAAGTATTGTGCTCCCTGTTTTTTGGCTGAATTGTTAAATTTATATTTCAGTAGGGAAAACGAATTTGGAAGATTCACTTCCTCTTTTTAGTTTGACTCAATTTTATGATGTCAAGTAATACTTTACATATATTTTAATAGGCAAATTTTGTAAAGGAACTGTTTAGTCTTAGTTGTTTTTTTAATTTTCAAAGATTTATTTATTTTTATGTGCATGGTGTTTTGCCTGCATGATGTCTGTGTGAGGGTGCTGGATCCCCTGGAACTGGAGTTACAGACAGTTGTGAGCCTCCATGTGGTGCTGGAAATTGAATCCAGGTCCTCTAGAAGAGCAGCCAGTGAGTGCTCTTAACCATTGAGTTATCACTCCAGTCCCAAGACTTTTATTATATTTGGTTTTACATTGGCGGTGTAGGTAGTTCAAAATGCTTTGTATATTCATGACCTCATAAGATGAAGTGCACTGCCTTAGCTTTTAATTTGTCTTTTTTTTTTCTTTTGAGGTTCATATAAATTACGGAAACTCTTGCTTAAAGTAAATCTAAACCACATTTTAGAAATTGAAGGTTGAAGATACATTTTTTCTTCTTTTCAGCTGACTACAGTGCAGATAGTTTTAAGTTGTAATCAGGCCCAAAGAAGTACACACATTTGCTCTCCCTCCCCCTTTCCTTTCTGTGCAGTGCCAGGGATCAAATCCAAGGCCCTTTGCATTCCAGGCAGATGCTATCTCTGATCTCTGATCTCTGCTCTAGCCCCTACGCAGTGCTTTTTCATGTTCTGTAACATCCTTTGTCTGCTTCCTTCCTTTGTAATCCCTATGTGTATTTTCTTATGACTTGTAAAGTTGTATTATATGGTTTAGAGTGGAGACTTTACCTGTATCTTAAGAAGCATGCAAACAAAAGAGAAGGACATGTAAAGAAAACAAAACCAAAGCCAAGCATTTGAAAATACTACAGTTTATATATTAGTGTTAGTTACTTGTAGATAATGAAGGGTCTGAGTGATAGAAGTGAGGAAGAGAACAGATGGTGCCTGTCCTTATAGAATGTATACTATGGGCAGGGGTGTGGCACTAAATAATTTAAAATCATAAGAGAAGAACAGCAAATTCATAGTGGAAAGGATGAAGGGATGGCTGTGTGTGGTGTGTGTGTGAGTGTGTGTGTGAGTGTGTGGAGGTGTGGAGACCGAGAGAGGGGGTGGGGACAAGGTAGAGAAGAGGTTTTTCTTAGGAGGCACCTGATGTTGAAAAAATGGAGTGGCCTTGCAGGAACTGAGAAGTTGGGTGTGATGACATATGCCTGTAATCTCAGCCCTTAGGAGGCTGAAGCAGGAGGAGACAATCAAGGTGGGGGATATGCTGGTCAGCAAGAACATTTTGAGAATTTTTTTTGGATAGGGTTTTGAGTTTGTGTGTTTGCATGCGTGTGTGTGTGTGTGTGTGTGTGTGTGTGTGTGTGTGTGTGTGTGTGTGTGTAGGTGTGTAGGCTAGAGATTAATATCATGTCTTTCTCAATTGCTTTCCATCTTATTTTCTTGAGACAGGGTCTCTCCCTGAACTTGGAGCTTACTGATTCAGCTAGAGTGGATGACCACCAAACCTCAGGAATCCTGTCTCCATCTCCCCAATGTTGGGATTACAAGTGCATACTGTTGTGCCTGGCTTTTTATGTGGGTACAGCTTAACTCAGGCCCTCCTACTTTAATGGCAAATACCCTGTTGATTGAGACATCTTCTTAGCCCTTTGGTGAAGATTTTTCTCCACCCCCATGTACTCAGGATTAAGTCAGTGTTTTGTACATATTGAGCAACACGTGTTGAGCTAATATCCTACCATTGAGCTATCTCCCCAGCTACTGCCACACCTACTCTTTTTTTTTGTTGTTGTTTTTCAACTTTATTTTGAAACAGGATCTCTCCTCACTAAGTTACCCAGGCTGGCCTTAGCCTTCAATTTGTGATTCTCCTGTTTCTCAGCCTCTTGAGTAGTTGGAATTAAAGGCCTATACCACAAGACCTGTTTTGAAGATCTTTAACTTTATGCCCAAAGTAATGGAAAACTTCTGGGGGAAGTGGGAGGAGAGAGGTTAAGAGAACAGTTATATATCTAGCTTGCTGTTTAAAAGCAAAGATGGAAAAGTTCAAGGTCCTCCTCAGCTACATAGCAAGCTTGAGGGCAGCTTGGATACTAAAGGTCCTGTCTCAAAAACAAAACAACAACAAAAAAACAACCCAGTCACAAATAAAAGCAGAGAATCCCCTGGGTGTGTTTAAGGCAATTCTTTGGAGGCTGTTTGCATTGTGAACTAGAATGGTAGAGAAAAATGGCTGACTTGAGCTGTGTTTAGGATATAGATCAGACAAGTAGTTTGTGAAGAAAGGGAGAGGAGTGAGTTCAGATAATGAGTGTCTGCCTGTGTTAAATCCTGAATTCTCAGAATAGCTCCATGAGATGGCTATTGCTATTGCCATTATATAGCCGAGGAAGTGAGGCTCATTGTTCACTTTTGGCCTGAGTCAGTGGGTGTTTGGTGTCATACCATAACTAAGATAGAATAGAGAGTGGGCGAGGCTTGTAAAACTTAACTTTGGACATGTTAAATTTGAGGTGTCTGTCTTATAATCAACCAAGTGGGCAAAGTGGGCATTTGGATAAGATTTATAGGATTGGTGGGAAGGGTAGAAGGAGGAAGAGAGAGGGGTCTGGATTTGAGACGGAAATTTTTGAGAGGTGTTTTTTCTTTTGAAGATGACATACTGGGTTATATGGAGGGAAAGTATGGAGCTAGGAAAGGAGTTTACTTTAGAGCCCAAGGCCTCAAAAGGTCCACCTGGTGAGAAGGGCGCAGATAAATATGATGTTTGTGTTCTGTGCAAAGTGTTTGGGCTTTAGTCCTTAAACAAATAGCCTTGAGTTTAGTCTTTTGGCTTACTGAACCTTAGGTATCTGGGATATTCAGGACAGCTGGACTGTTCTTACTTCCTCTCCCCATATCTTTCTTCTTTATATTTCTCTTTCCCTCTTTCTCCTCCCTCCTTTCTCCCTTGTTCTTTCTCTCTCTCTCTCTCTCTCTCTCTCTCTCTCTCTCTCTCTCTCTCTCTCTCTCTCTCTCTCTCTCTCTCTCTCTCTCTCCTTCCTTCCTTCCTTCCTTCCTTCCTTCCTTCCTTCCTTCCTTCCTTCCTTCCTTCCTTCCTTCCTTCCTTCCTTCCTTCCTTCTTTCTTTCTTTCTTTCTTTCTTTCTTTCTTTCTTTCTTTCTTTCTTTCTTTCTTTCTTTCTTTCTTTTTGAGACAGGGTTTCTCTGTATTGCTTTGTAGGCTGTCCTGGAACTCACTCTGTAGACCAGGCTGGCCTCAAACTCATAGATCCTCCTGCCTCTGCCTCCCGAGTGCTGGGATTAACCCTTGTTCTTTTTTTTTTCTGATTCCATTTTACTGTGTAGTCCAGTATGATTTCACATACATGATGTGCATGTATGTGTCTGGATGCATATGTCATAGCAAGACTGTGGAGGTCATAGGATAACTTGTGGGAGTCACCTGTCTCCTTCCTCCATGAGTGTCTTGGAAGAAAATTCACATTGTCGGCACTTGCCTTTACCCATTGAGCTATCTTACTGCCTGATCCTGTCTTTCTAAGATTAACTTCGTGTAGAGAGTTCTCTTCCTCAGGAGATACTCTAGCCTTATCAACTTGCTCGATTTCTGATTGGTGGCAGTCTCTCCAGTGCTGGCAAGCGGAGCACTATTATGTGTGACTTGTGCAGAGTAGTCAGTCTTTGCTTTGGTACGTTATGGCCAGTCTGTCTGTGAATGTCGCTTAAGACTGCATTAGCCTTTGAGAGGTGGGAACCAGTGAAGTATCAGTCTTTTATCAGCTGCAAGTGTTTTCATATATGCTTTGCATCATGAACCCTTGTGGTCTCATTCTTCCTTTCTTTCCATGTAGGTATGGCATCACAGCTGCAGGTGTTTTCCCCCCCATCAGTGTCGTCGAGTGCCTTCTGCAGTGCGAAGAAACTGAAAATAGAGCCCTCTGGCTGGGATGTTTCAGGACAGAGCAGCAACGACAAATATTATACCCACAGCAAAACCCTCCCAGCTACACAAGGGCAAGCCAGCTCCTCTCACCAGGTAGCAAATTTCAATATTCCTGCTTACGACCAGAGCCTCATCCTCCCAGCTCCTGCAGTGGAGCATATTGTGGTAACAGCTGCTGATAGCTCAGGCAGTGCCGCTACGGCAACCTTCCAAAGCAGCCAGACCCTGACTCACAGGAGCAACGTTTCTTTGCTTGAGCCATATCAAAAATGTGGATTGAAAAGAAAAAGTGAGGAAGTGGACAGCAACGGTAGTGTGCAGATCATAGAAGAACATCCCCCTCTCATGCTGCAGAACAGAACTGTGGTGGGTGCTGCTGCCACGACCACCACTGTGACCACGAAGAGTAGCAGTTCTAGCGGAGAAGGGGATTACCAACTGGTCCAACATGAGATCCTTTGCTCTATGACCAACAGCTATGAAGTCTTGGAGTTCCTAGGCCGAGGGACTTTTGGACAGGTGGCAAAGTGCTGGAAGCGGAGCACCAAGGAAATCGTGGCTATTAAGATCTTGAAGAACCACCCCTCTTATGCCAGACAAGGACAGATTGAAGTGAGCATCCTTTCCCGCCTAAGCAGTGAAAATGCTGACGAGTATAATTTTGTCCGTTCTTACGAGTGTTTTCAGCACAAGAATCATACCTGCCTTGTGTTTGAGATGTTGGAGCAGAACTTGTATGATTTCCTAAAGCAGAACAAGTTCAGCCCACTGCCACTCAAGTACATCAGACCAGTCTTGCAGCAGGTGGCCACAGCCCTGATGAAGCTGAAGAGTCTGGGTCTGATTCATGCTGACCTTAAACCTGAAAACATAATGCTGGTTGATCCAGTTCGTCAACCCTACCGAGTGAAAGTCATTGACTTCGGTTCTGCTAGTCACGTTTCCAAAGCTGTGTGTTCAACCTACTTGCAGTCACGCTACTACAGGCAAGTTTAAAATACTGGAGATGTGTCCTCATATTTAACATGCATAGCATAGAATTCTAATTATACTACTTAAGAGTCTACTTATTTCTAGATTCCAAGATGGGAACAGGATTTGTTTCAGCTTCTTACATGTATATGTGACATTCCTATAAGTAACATGCTTTTCTTGCCGAGATCCTATTTTACTAGCAAAATGAACTCAAATTTAATTCTCAAGGCTGTTGCTAGCTGAATTCTGCTAGTATCTGGTTCATTCCTGACTGCCATTACACTTAACTTCCTACTTGAAGGAATGACTATACAAGATGATCCATCTGACTATACAAGATGATCCATCTGGGTAGGTGCCAAAGGGTTTTCTTTAGCTTATACTTTGGCATGTAAAATGTCTTGGGATTACCTTTAGGTTTAACCATAGCAGCAGTTTATTCTGATTTTTTTTTTTTTTTGAGACAGGATTTCTCTGTGTAGCTTTGGAGCCTGTATTGGTACTCACTCTTCAGACCAGGCTGGTCTGGAACTCAAAAAGATCCACCTGCCTCTGCCTCCCAAGTGCTGGGATTAAAGGCGTGGGCAAAAATTGTATTAGATGATTGCTGTGATTTTCTATTTGAACATCTCTACAATATTTTGAAGTTATTTAGTTATCCTAGGATATCTTGACCTAAGTACACTAATGATTTATATTTCTAGATTAGTACGTCTAAAACAAGGCCCTTTTATTACATAAAATTCTTTTAACAGTACTTATGTTGGTATACACAATTTTGTATATACTATAATCAAGGCTCTTTAGAGGTGCTTTTACTTTTCAGATCTTTATCTAGTTAATTTTACAGAATCTGGTATTTAAATTAATATTCATAAATTGAAAATAGATTGTATGAGCATTTAGTCAAGAAATGAAGCATGGGCTGGGGTATGTAACTCAGATACAGGACTTGCTTATTCTGCATGAGACTGAGTTTAATGTCCCTCCCATCCCAAAATAAAAAACCTTTATCACAAATAGGTAACTGTAAAATATGTATTTATGTGTATTCTCTTAGGGGTGTGTGTGTGTGTGTGTGTGTGTGTGTGTGTGTGTGTCTGTCTGTCTTCTTTTGGGCAAGGTCTCACTATGTAGCCTTGTTTGGCCTGGAACTTACTGTGTAGATCAGGTTGGGTTTGAACTCACACCGATCTACCAGAGTATTAGGGTTAATAGATTTGCTACCTATTTTCTATAATTTTATGTTTATGGGTGTTTTGTCAGTATGTATGTCGGTGTACCAAGAGTGTACCTGGTTTCAATAGAGGCTAGATCCACTGGAGTTATAGATGGGTGTGATCTACCACGTGAGTACTCTCCAGCTCCATTCCTAGATCTTAAGATTTTGAGGTTTATCTATTCTGTAGCACCCATCAAGGATGTCATTCCTGCTCATGTTGAGAAATTTTGCATTGTATGTATATGCCACATTTTGCTTATCCATCTTTTGATAGACACCTGGGTGTTAAACCCTTCAGCTGTTGTGAATGTTTAATCTAAATACCTATTTTTAGGCCTTTTAGCTGTAGAGCTTGAGGTAGACTTGCTAGATCTTAGGGATTAGTATGTTGTAGCTCTGAGAAGCTACCGGACTTCCACAGAGGCTGTACTCTTAACCCCCTTGCCAGCAGCGAATGAGAGTTCCAGTTTCTACATGTTTCCTTCAATACTTGTTATTTTATATATATATATATATACATATATATATATATGTATATATATATATTTTTTTGTTTGTTTTTGTTTTTTTGTTTTTTCGAGACAGGGTTTCTCTGTGGCTTTGGAGGCTGTCAGGCTGTCCTGGAACTCACTTTGTAGACCAGGCTGGCCTCGAACTCACAGAGATCCGCCTGCCTCTGCCTCCCGAGTGCTGGGATTAAAGGCATGCGCCACCAACGCCCGGCTTCTATATACTTTTAAAGTAGTTATCTTTATGGTATAAAATGGTATCCCAGATAGTTTTGATTTACCTTTTAGTGATACTGACATTTTTCATGTCCTTACACTTTTTTTTGGAGAAATATTTATTCAAATCCTCTGCCCATATTTTCAGTTGGTTTTGTTAGGTTTTAGAAATTAAAAAAAATACCTTCTAGTCATTGACAGATATGATTTGCAAATATCTCGTATCCTTTTATAGTTTTTGAACCTCTTGTTTTGACCCTTGATGAAGGGTCTGCATTTTCCTTTGTTTGTTCCCTTGTCATGCATTAAAAATCCATCATCTCCAGTTTTCTTCTACAGGCCTTCGACTTTCTTTTTTTTTTCCGAGACAGGGTTTCTCTGTGACTTTGGAGACTGTCCTGGAACTAGCTCTTTTAGATCAGGCTGATCTCCAACTCACAGAGATCCGCCCTGCCTCTGCCTCCCCAGTGCTGGGATTAAAGGTACCCAGCAAGCCTTTGACTTTTAGCTCCTGCATTTAACTATTTAATTTCAAGTTAACTTGTTTTTGAGACAAGGTTTTTGCTATATAGCTCTGGTTGACCTGGTGCTCACTTGGTAGCTCAAGCTGGCTTTGAACTCAGCAGTGTCCCTCCTTTCTGTCTCAGCCTCCTGAGTGCTTGGATTGCAGACATGGGCTACCACACTTTGTTCAATTCTATTTTTTAAAGTAATGGTCCAGTTTAATTCTTTTGCATGTGACTTTTGCAAGTTTATTCGACCATATATTTTAAGAGTTTATTTCTGGGTTCCCTATTCTACTGTTAGTCTCTGTATGCCCTTCTATAAGGAGCGGTTCTCAACTTGTGGAGCACGACCCCTTGGGGGGGGAGTCGAACAACCCTTTCATAGGAGTCACATACATTTATCATGCCTATCAGAGATTGATATCATGACTCATAACAGTAGCAAAATTACACTGATGAAGTAGCAACGAAAATAATGTTATGGTTGGGGTCACCACAACATGAAGAACTGTATTAAAGAGTCACAGCATTAGGAAAGTTGAGAACCACTGTTCTACAGGCTAGATCTTTCTTTCTTTTTTTTTTTCTTAAAAAAAAAAACATAGGGTTTAATAAAAATAACATTAACAAATTTCTTTGAGTAGTGCAGTACTGACAGCTTAATGATAGTCTTTTAATCTGTCCTCACTTAAAAAAAATCTTCATAGTTTTATAAAACTGACATGTTTTACTTGAAATGGGGCAAAGAAGTTCTCAGGGCTTGTGGTTTCCGGTCTCATCCTGCTCTAGACAACCTAGGCTAATTTTGAAAAATTTCACTTCAGTTTACTTAAGACTTGGGAAATTAGGCTCCAACTACGTTTGTTTCTGGTACTCCCCTTTGAATACCCCCCATAGTACAAATGCAGCAGATGCTTACAGGTGTGCTGAAGAGCTGGCGCCCCCCCACTGCCTGTCTCTGAGGCTGGGAGGTGCGAGCCATCGGCTCAGACAGGAGCGAACAGGTGTTCATTAACTGTTTGTGTGCCCCCTCAGAGATAACCAGGCAGTTTTAAAACAAAAAGGCAGAAAAAAGGAAGATGTAAGTTATTTTATGAAATCATTTTTGATAGGATCTTTACATAACGTGATTTTTAGGAGAAATTATTCTGCCCAACTTTCTCTAATTTGCAATACATATGACTGATTTTTAATATTAAGCTGCTAATCTTTGTACTTTTTCCTTATACTTTTAATTTTGTTTTTGATTTTATTAAAAAAAGTAAGTTTTTCTAAATTTTAAAGTATTCTTCAAAGCTACTTATAAATTTGGTTGTTAGCTTTAAGAATAATTTCAAGGGAGGAGTAAGGGAAACTTCTTAAAAGTTCATTCTGATCCCAAGCCATCACTGTGCAAGCAGCTCAGCATCTACGGTTTGTGACTGGCCTAGGATTTACCTGAGTGCTGTGTCGTCTCCAGTAATTCTCGATTCCAAGTGTGACAGGTGGAAGGCTGCCTGGGCAGGCCTCCCTCGTCATTGCTTTTGTCCTCGGCAGGCCTTATGTAAGCATTCTCATAGCTCTTTGTTGTCATTAGAATTCACTAACACCTCATAGTCCTGTCTTTTGCAAACCTCTGTGAACCCTTTTGGCTGTTGAAGCTGCCTGCAAATCCAGCCTTCTTACCCTTCTTTTAAGTCGCTTTGTCCCAATGTTAAGCATGCCCAGATACTACCATTTGGCAGAAATTTGCCACACTTATCCATAGGCATGGCTAAACGATCCAGGCAGTGGAAATGTTTTTTAGCCTGCTAAATGTAGACTGATGCCAAGGAAAGTTGCTGTCTTTGGGCTTGAGTTTTAGGGACAGAGGTTTGCCACACTTAACAGTCCCAATGCTTTACTCTTCTAAACAAACTAGCCAGCATTTGTTTTAAGCTCAGATTACTTTGTTATTTATGGATGGATGTTGCCTAGAGGAGAAAAGTATAGCTTAATTTATCCTACACAAACAATCTAATTTCCTGTAACAGTGAAACTACAGTTTCAATCTAAGCCACAGATGCAGGAAGTTGGACTTTATGTAACATCTCTAATCTGGTAAATAAGTGGCTTTGGTGCCTCAGTGAAGGGAAGAAACTGAATGTTCATGAAAACAACCAGAGAATGATTTGTGCTGCCAGTGAACTAGGGCTTTATGACCTTGGAGCATTTCTTCAGGATAAAGTTTAAAGTTGGGAGATGAAATGCCAGGGCTGCTCTTTCTGTCACTTAGCTATTGTAAATTAGTGCTTCTAGTGCTTGTGCTTTAAGGATGGGGGTTGTGTCCTCTAAGACTGTCCTAATGCTACGATCCTTTCATACCTTTCTTCATGTGGCGACCTCTAACCATAAAATTATTTTGTGGCTACTTCATAACTGTAATTTTACTACCCTTATGAGTCATAAGTATCTGATATACAGGATATCCAATATGCAAATCATATAGGGGTTGAGACCCACAGGTTGAGAACTGCTGTTAAAGGAGACCCACTACTTTCAGCACAATCAGCAACATTTTCCTATTTGAATAAACACTGCCAAGTTTGTTGTCATCTCTAGCTTTTTCCTACACTTGAGTAGATAGTCTTCTTATTGCCTTATGTTTTTTACAATGTTGTTACTGGAAACAGACCAGATGAGTAATTATTGACTTCATCCTTCATTTTTTTCCCCTTTCCTTCTTATTTTATTTTATTTTGAGACAGACTCTCCTGTAGCTTGGGATGGTCTTGAACCTTCAGTCTTTGTGCTTTGTTTCCCAAGTACTGGGATAACAGGTGTGTGCCTGGCTCAGCCTTCTTATACAGCTAGTAGAACCAGGGTTTCCATGTTCATAGACTTTTTTCAGTACTGAGGATCAAATTCAGGGCTAGCGTGGGTTAAAAATGCTCCCTACCCCTCCAACCCCTCAAAGACTTTATGTTAAGACTGGATAGTTTAAAGAAGGCCAAGAGGAAAATACAATGAGAATAATAAGTTCACTAATTGTGATCTCAATTTAGATGTTCTGTCATTGTTCCATAAAGGGGAAAACACTTCATTCCCACTAACTAGTGGTTAAGACGAACATGTTTTTTTTTTTTTTTTCGAGACAGGGTTTCTCTGTATTGTTTAGGAGCCTGTCCTGGAACTCTCTCGGTAGACCAGGCTTGGTCTTGAACTCACAGAGATCCGCCTGCCTCTGCCTCCTGAGTGCTGGGATTAAAGGCGTGCGCCACCACCGCCTGGCAAGATGAACATGTTTAAGTCTCAGTGATGAGAAGCTCCTACTGCAGCTTTCTTTTTTTAACAACCCTGGCTATCCTGGAACTCCCTCTGTAGACCAGGCTGGCCTTGAACTCGCAGAGATGCCTCTGCCTCCTGAGTGCTGGGATTGAAAGTGTGCACCACCACTGCTCTGCCCCTGAGGTTTTCTTTAGTTCTTGCCTTTGTGTAACGAAAGAGTTGCTATCTTGTGTGAATTCTCCATGAGAATCCTTAGCTGCTTTTGTCATTCTAGAAACAGGATGAAAAACAAATCTAGTCAAACATCACTGTTTTGTTTTTGTAAACGAGGCTGGAAATAGTGTTTCCTTAATTTCTTTGAAACTTTAAGCTCCTCTCTCTCTCTCTCTCTCTCTCTCTCTCTCTCTCTCTCTCTCTCTCTCTCTCTGTCTCTGTCTCTGTCTCTTTCTGTCTGTCTGTCTCTGTCTCTCTGTCTGTCTGTCTCTCTGTGTATGTGTGTGTGTTTGCTTTTTCTTTAAAGAAGTTAAAAACTGGACTGGCCAGCCATTCTCTCCTGATCTACCTTTTCAAAAATGTCTTCCTAAGTCGGGTGGTTGTAGCCCATGCACTCGGGAGGCAGAGGCAGGCGGATCTCTGTGAGTTTGAGACCAGTCTGGTCTACAGAGGGAGTTCCAGGACAGCCTCCAAAGCCACAGAGAAACCCTGTCTCAACCCCCTTCCCCCCCAAAAATGTCTTCCTATAAGGTAGGACTGCTAAAACCTTGAGATTCTCAGTTGATGCTTTGGAATGTTCTCAGCCCAGTTTTTATTTTGGCACCAAGCCATGTGCACTTGCCCTGCCAGCTATTTCTGGCACTGTCATGAGCTTGGAAATTGATGTTGCTGCTCACTGAAAGTAAGACTTTTTTTCCCTTTTCAATTTTAGAAAAGCTTTCATATTTTTTTCTGGGTATTCCTATTCTCAGCTTATTAATCCTCCTATCACACTTGTGTGATGTTAAGAACAGCCATAATGGTTGGAATTTAATTGAAATTTGAAATTCCATCAGTGGTAAATGTCTGTAGTTAATTTCAACATCACTTGATACATCACTTTTCATCCCTCCCTCCCTCTCCCTCCCCCTTCCCTCTTTCTTTCTTCCTTTCTTTCTCTTTCTCTTCCCCCCCCCTCTCTTTTTCTTTCCTTTCCTTTTCCTTTTTCCTTCCTTTGGGTCCTGGAACTACTATGTAGACAAGGTGAGCCTCTAATTTGCAATGATCCTCTTGATGGGATTGCATGAATGTGCACTTACACCTAGTACTGGGTATGATGACTGAGGGTTGTTTTTTAGTGAACAAAACTGAAGTTTATATCAAATGCTATAAAAACTGGTTATATTATTTCTTGTGCTCCAGCTGTCTAGCAGAATGAGTCTGAATAGGCCTAGATCTTGTGCTGTTTCAGGGTAAGGATCAGAAAATGTCTTAGACTCTCTGGATTCCTACAACCTACCTGTTTCCTATGGGTGTTGATGTTGCAGGTTGGTTCTTTTCTTCCCACCATGTGGATTTTGGGGATAGAACTTGGGTCCACAGGCTTGGCTTACCCTTTTATCCATTGCACATAGTATGCACTGCCATTTTAGTCACCGTTTGAGACAAGCCCGTTTATGCATGTCACCATTCCAGATAAGTTAGTGAAGATGAGTGTATGTAGTGGATATGATTGTATTTAATTCTGGAGTGAGTGAGTGCTGAGAGCCGTCCTTGCCCTGCCACTCACTGACTATAGTTTTATGCAAGTCTCTCCTGTCTGATTCCTACTTTACCAGTGGGAGTAGTGACTTCATTTCAGATGTATTCACCTATAGAGTACTCTTGGTTTATGGATTATTATACTTGAAGCATTAATGAAAATCAAATTTCTAAAAAGTGCAGAGTTTCAAGACTCACAATAGTACTGTAATATTAGTAGTTATTATTATACCTAACATTTACATATGCTTATTATGTGCCCAGCACTGGCCCAAGATTTTGTTAATTTATTTAAACTTTGTAACACCCTTCTGTGCTAGGTATTCCCACTGTCTGCATTTTTATCAGAAACCCAAGGCACAGAGTTGAAGTTAGATGGTGACAACTATTAAATGATAGCCTGAGCTTCAAACTCTCATAGGTTGGCTCATGAGTCTGCTGCAAATATCATTTTTTTCAGAAATCATTTTTGTCATGAAGGTGGTAAAACAACTAAGGTGCTCAGAAGAAAAATCTAATTCTAATATTTATTTAAAAAGACATTTTCCCCTGAGTTTAATATAAACTTCTTTATCATCAAGATCTGCCTTGAACTGTTACAAGATTGGTTAATGTCTTTATTTAGTCAATTTAATATGCTTACTCTGTGTATTATTATTACAGAGATATTAATGTGTTCATTTATGGGCACTGTCAAACTGCAGTAGGATTGTGGTATACATAGATTATGTTCTATATTACTTTTCTGCAGTTCAAAACTTCTGAATTTTTTTTTCCTCAAGACAGGGTTTCTCTGAAGTTCTGGCTGTCCTGGCTCTGTAGATTACAGAGTGCTGGGATTAAAGGCATGTGCCACCACTGTCTGCTAAAGCTTCCCCAGAGTTCTGACTGAGTTGTGTACTGATGCTTTTCAGTTTCATTAAACAAATGTGCCTGTTGCTGATACTGCAGCTTATTCAGTAACTATCCATAGTTAATTTCCCCAAGTAATGCTTGCTGTTTTATCTTATATCTTTGTATTTTGCTAGAGCCCCTGAAATTATTCTTGGATTACCATTCTGTGAAGCTATTGACATGTGGTCACTGGGCTGTGTAATAGCTGAGCTGTTCCTGGGATGGCCTCTTTATCCTGGTGCTTCAGAGTATGATCAGGTAAGAGTGCTGATTGGAATGGGTATGGGAAGCAGCACACACTCAGACTGCATAGGTCTGTCCACACATACAAAGAGTGCTTTTATAACAATTTGAAAAAATAGATCACACACCATAGGAATATTGGAATTAAGGGTGTCCTAAGTGCATAATATAGATGTGGATAAATACTCTACTATATTGATACCTACCAAAAATATGTACAAATCTTTTTTTAAATTTTCTTTTCTTTTATCTTTTTAAATTATTTATTTATTATGCATACAGTTTTTTATCTGTGTACATGCTTGTACCCCAGGAGAAGGCATCAGACCTCATTATAGATGGTTGTGAGCCACCATGTGGTTGCTGGGAATTGAACTGAGGACCTCTTTAAGAACATGCTGTGCTCTTAACCTCTGAGCCATCTCTCCAGCCCCATTCTCTTTTATTTTTGAGATTATAATTAAATCCCCCTTAAAAGTCTATTCTCTCTCTCTCTCCCTCTCCCCCCCCTCTGTTTTTGTTTTTGTTTTTTGTTTTTTGTTTTTGAGACAGGGTTTCTCTGTGTAACATCCCTGACTGTCCTGGAACTCATTTCATAGACCAGGCTGGCCTCCAAGTCAGAGAGATCCATCTGCCTCTGCCTCTGGAGTGCTGGGATTAATGGTATGCGCTGTAGTGATTTTGTTTTGTTTTTCTGACTTTATCTTGGCTTGTTTCTAGCCAGCTTTGCTAACTTAAATTATTCCATCTGCCTTTTACCTTTCCTTATTCTATATCTCATTCTTCCCTTCTTCCTCTGTGGCTGGTTGTGTAGCTGGGTGGCTGGCCACTGGCGTTCTCTCTCCTCCTTTTCTTGCTCCTCCTCCTTTTCTTTTTCTCCAATTTATTCTTTCTGCCTGGCAGCCCCACCTATCCCTCTCCTGCCTAGCTATTGGCCATTTAGCTCTTTATACAGACCAATTGTTTTAGGCAGGCAAAGTAACAACACAGCTTCACAGAGTTAAACAAATCTTTGCATCATTAAATAAATATTCCACAGCATAAATGAATGTAATACATCTTTAACTGATATTCTGCAATGGTGTGCCACCACCGCTCAGCTACAAATTTATTCTTTTTTTTTTTTTTCAAGACGGTTTCTCTGCGGCTTTGGAGGCTGACTTGAAACTAGCTCTTGTAGACCAGGCTGGTCTCGAACTCACAGAGATCCTCCTGCCTCTGCCTCCCGAGTGCTGGGATTAAAGATGTGCACCACCAGCACCCGGCCAAATTTATTCTTATAAAGTTAAAGCTTTCTAAAAACTTAATGCCATTCTTTTTTTTGGAGACAGGGTCTCTTTGCATAGAGCCCTGGCTGTCCTGGAACTCACTAAGTAGACAGGGCTGGCTCTGGCCTTCTGAGTGATAGAATTAAAGGCATGTGCAACCAAGCCCAGCCTTGATGCCATTCTTAACAGGAACTCAAGCTTTACAATATAGTGCTAACTCATAATTTAGTGTATACCGTGATATTGTAGTCATTTTACAGTCACCTCTTGATGTTGATACACTGAACTCAAGGGTGGTGAACATCCATTTAAAATGCTGCACACTGCTTTTTGCGCATTTTTTACAAATAAATAGATGTCAATCACATGTTTATGGCTTTGGTAAGGTTTCTGGTCAATGCTAGGCTATTAGTAATTAAGTTTTGGGGGATCTAAAATAGGGTGAAGATACAGCTCAGTGATAGAGCACTTGTTTAACATGTGAGAGGGCTAAATTTGATACCCAGCATTGGTGTGGAGAAGGTGTATTTCAAATTTTTGACTTTAAATGTTGGTCAACTGTTATTACTAGTGCAATAGATTCTAGAGAAATAAATGTGCTAGTGAAGTACTTAGAGAAAAAAGAGTCTAATTGCTACTGAAGAGTAAAAACATTTTTTTCTGTCAGGCGGTGGTGGTGCGCACGCCTTTAATCCCAGCGCTCGAGAGGCAGGGGCAGGGGGGGGCCTCTGTGAGTTTGAGGCCAGCCTGGTCTACAGTGTGAGTTCCAGGACAGCTAAGGCTACACAGAGAAAGAAACTCTGTTTTGAAAAGGAAAAACAAACAAAAACAATTCCCTCTTCTGTCTATTTGGTCTAAAGTTACGTTTTCATCTGTGTGATAAAAAAGGATTTTGTTTATATTATATATGATTGGCATCTTTCTAACTCTGTACTGATTAACTGTAGTCAACTGTATCAGAGTTAAGAGATGAAAGTAAGTAAGGCTGTAACTGGAGTTCTGGGAGTAAACTTTGGCTCACTCAGAACTGTCACTGTTTTATAAAGTAGCTCAGAACGAAGTAACTGAACACATTAGGTTTTCAGAAGCTGTGCTACAAATTAGGTCTCTTCTGAAATAGGTTTTGAGAGAGCCCTCATCTGAGTTATAAAACATTTCTTTGAACTTCTGTTGTGGAGACTGGCCTTGAACTCCCAGTCCTCTGGCATCTCTCCCAAGTACTGGGATTCCAGGTGTGTGCCACTTGACTGACTCATAAACTGTGAAATACTGCTACTGTGTTAAAACTACAAGTTTTAAAAGACAGGCTACCGTTTCATAAGAAATTGGTCTGTTGAAGAAAGTTTTGCTGTGTAAATAATTTGAATTCTCGTTTATTGCTCTAAAAAAAAAAGACTCCACATAATATTGGCAGCTCTTTACGAGTAGAGACTTGCATATCGCCAGTCTGTCATCAGCTGACGCCACCCTGGACACACACACCAAATATATAAGTTCTGTCGTCAGCTGATGCCACCCTGGACACACACACCAAATATATAAGTTCTGCTTTGTTTTGTTTTTGAGAAATAGTTATTTGCAATTAGAAGGTAAAAGAAAGAGCAAAACATTGTTTTCTCTTAGCTTAGAATTCTGTCACAATTTTAAACTGACTTGGAGTAAATTATAAAATAGGTTGCTGATGTTATAAGTAGGCAGTAAGTTTTTAATCTTTTCTACCTTGTTGTAAGGGCAAAACAAAACCCCGAAAAAAAACATGGCTTTTTTTTTTTAAAGAAAAGAATATGAAGGATAGGAAATGATGCAAATCCATAATTAATTGGAATTGAATCAGACATTGATTCTTAGTCCTTTCTAAACCCTTTTGACAATCTAATGAAGCTGTAGACCCCCCCACCCCTGAAAATATACACACATTGTTTTTGTGCAACTTGAGGGGGATTCATGGATCCTGCTCCAAGCAATTACAGCCTCTAGGAATGCAGTTCTTAGTCCAACTATTCAGTGGCACCGGTTCAAGCTTAGCAACTGATTGGTGTAAATTTCCTAGGAAGTAGAAACAAGTACAACTTGATTTAGAAGCTGAGATAGCAATCAGAGCTTTCCTTGTAAAGAAAAAGGATATGGTCTTTGTGAAAATTTCTGTGTAATATATTGATGGGAGATAGGAAGAAGTAGCTTGCTGTGCTGAATAAGTAGGATGCTGCTTGGGAGCAGGATTGGGGATAGTTTATTTTGGTGCATCTGGGTAATAAAAAAGGATTCATATAGCAGGGTCCAGCTAAGGTTTTTTGTTGTTTTTATAAAAATAACTTTATAGGGTTAGAATTGACATACTGTACATACCAACCATTTGAAGTATACAGATTAATGGACTTTTAGTATGTTTACAGGAATGTACACTCTTTATCAGTTTTAGAACATTATGTCATTCTTTAATGACACCTGTTCATTAGTAGTTAATGCCGTTTTCCCTCCAAACTCCTCAGTTTTCTTACCTCTACACAAATACCAAGGTATTTTTTCCTTTATGTAAATTTGCCTACTCTGGCATATCATAAATATTCATCACATAGAACATAATTTTTATGACTGAATAATGTTCCATTTTGTGTGTGTATAATATGTATATACACACATACATATATATACACACACATATATTTAATCTATATGTTAGTAGGAATAAACATAGTTTTTTTTTTTGTCTATCATGAATAATGCTTCTTTGAACATTGGTATTCAGATATCAAAGTCTGGGCCTGGAGAGATAGCTCACAGTTGTGTTGATCAGAGAGTTAATTTCCTCATAATACATTTCTTTTCTGACTAGAGTTAACATTTCAGTGTAAAAGCTTTTGATATTTTTTTCTACTTAAAATTGATGTTTGGTTTTAATTTTTTAGATTCGTTATATTTCACAAACACAAGGCCTGCCAGCTGAGTATCTTCTCAGTGCCGGAACAAAAACAACCAGGTTCTTCAACAGAGATCCTAATCTGGGATACCCACTGTGGAGGCTTAAGGTATGTCTTCCTTACAACTTTGAGTTTAGATTTTAGTTAATAATTTCCTGACATGTGTTTGTTGGAGGAAAAATGATTGTATTATACCCATTAGGCCTATGGATGGGTAAAAGGTAGACAGTGGAAGGCAGCTCAGCTGGCTGGGGTTGGGCTGAGTATTTAGGATAAGCAGTTGAGGGGACTATGGAGAATCATGCTCAGTAAGTAGTGTGGGGAGCGAGAGAAGCGAAATGACTGTTACACAGGCATCTCACCAACGCTCTAAGACAACCTAATTTTTTAACTGTTCTGTGTTCAGGTCTTACAGATTTTCCTGAAACAAAAGAGTCTGTTTTTAATTTTGAGCTTACTCCTTCAGTGTGAGAAATCAGTAAACCCCTATTACTCTGCCTGTTAAACAGTGTTGGGGTCTGGTGTCCATGTCCAAGAAGCTGTAAGAGAAATGGTGACATCCCAGTCACCTGACCTTCTTCCGCACTGTGTGGCTTCACTGCCGCCATGCCTGTTTAGCATCATTGGAACGATGCCTGGTAGTAAGGTCACGCCTCTCCACTGTAAGATTTTCAGGTTACAAGATGACAGTAAAATCTCTTTGTATTCTGGCTTCAGATTAAAATAAAAATAATGTGAAAATAATGTAGAGGTTTTAAAAAAAAATCATTGTTTTATAGACACCCGAAGAACATGAATTGGAGACTGGAATAAAGTCAAAAGAAGCCCGGAAGTACATTTTTAACTGTTTAGATGACATGGCTCAGGTGAGTGTAACAAGCTTAGAGAGGTGGGAGTTTATGTGGGACTTCAAGCAGAGACACACATGCTAATATTTTCCCATGTGTTTAAAGAACATTTAATCCTAGCAGTGGATTCTTTAAAGATGCTTGATTGAGCTTCTCTAACCCAAACACACCAAACTAATATTCTCAATTCTGAAGCTCTTTGAGCACCAAGTGGAACTAAAGAACTTTCTGATTTTGGAGATTGTTCAGAGTTGGGGTTTTGGGGTCAGGACTGTTCAACTGGTGAACTCTGTGCAAATATTCCAATCTTTTTTTTTTTTTTTTTTTTTTTTTTTGGTTTTTTGAGACATGGTTTCTCTGTGTAATAGCCGAGTGCTGGAATTAAAGGCATGCACCATCAATGCCCGGCTCTTTTTGGTTTTTAAGACAGGATTTCTCTGTGTAACAGCCCTGACTATCCTAGAACTCACTCTGTAGATCAGGCTGGCCTCAAACTCATAGAGATCCATCTGCCTCTGTCTTCCAAGTGCTGGGACTAAAGATGTGCACCACCACTGCCCCACTATAAATTCCAAAATGTTAAGTCTCTGTAATCTGAAATACTTTTGACCCCAGGCATTTTAATAAGTGTCAACCTGTTTCTGTTTCTTCCTTAGTTTTGCTAACTGGGTCTTGTTTTATTATTTTAGAATAATGTTTATAAAGGTTTCTTTCTTGTCTCATCTTCTCTACTAAATGAAAATTGCATAAGAGCTCACATTTACTGTGTTCCAAATTTAAATGTGTTGTACAATGTCATTTAATCTTTCCAACAGTAGAAGCTTGTATATTTCAATAATAAACATCTAGTTTAACTTGTTTCAAAATTTTAATGCCAAGAATCAATTTGGCTCTGTGTAAGCAGAAGAGTTTCTCTTTTCTGAACTACTAGTATTAAATATCTGCTTTCTCTCTTTTGGAGAGAAAAGCAAACACAGTAAATCCTTAATCTATTTAATTTAAATGGGGAAATATAATATTTCTAATTTTCTTTGGAAGGTAAATATGTCTACAGACTTAGAGGGAACAGACATGTTGGCAGAGAAGGCAGACCGGAGAGAATACATTGATCTCTTAAAGAAAATGCTGACGATTGATGCAGATAAGAGAATCACTCCTCTGAAAACTCTTAACCATCAGTTTGTGACAATGGCTCACCTTCTGGATTTTCCACACAGTAACCAGTGAGTATTGTACAATTTGGGGGCTTTTTGCCATGATGTGGCTCTTGGTTTAGTTGCTATTCTATACAGGGAACTATCAAGTTAGCTGTAACTTTGGTGCCTGTGTATTTGATTCACTGATGCGTCTTAAAGAGAGGTCTTTATTTTTCTTCTTGTTACCATAAAAACCCTTGATTCTTTTTTTTCTGAAAATATCTAGAAGACATACTTTGTTCCATGTTTATCTTGAGTTTTTTATTGTTTAAATTTTAGCATTCATTCAATAAATTTTTACTCTTTTTCAGTGTTAAGTCTTGTTTCCAGAACATGGAGATCTGCAAGCGGAGGGTTCACATGTATGACACAGTGAGTCAGATCAAGAGTCCCTTCACTACACATGTTGCTCCAAATACAAGCACAAATCTAACCATGAGCTTCAGCAACCAGCTCAACACAGTGCACAATCAGGTACTCAGTGAATGATTGTGGAAACTCAAGCCTAAGTGGTACAGAAGGCAGTAAGACAAAGAAACCAGTCCTTGGGTTTTTTTTTTTTTTTTTTTTTTTTTTTTGGTTTTTCGAGACAGGGTTTCTCTGTGTAGTTTTGGAGGCTGTCCTGGCACTCGCTCTGTAGACCAGGCTGGCCTCGAACTCACAGAGATCCGCCTGCCTCTGCCTCCCGAGTGCTGGGATTAAAGGCGTGCGCCACCAACGCCTGGCCTTGTGTTGGTTTTTTTGTTGCTTCTTAAAGCATTTTCTGTTTGAGGGCTTGGGCAAAATGCCTCAACAGGTAAAAATACTTGCCATGCAAGCCTGATGATCTGTTTCATCATGAGAATTCACAGTTGAAGGAAAAATCTGGTTCCCAAAAGTTGTCCTCGAACTGTGGAACACACATGCCCACACTCAAAATTATTATTAAAAACACACACGTTCAATAATAATAATAAAGGTCAATTCCGAGATTCAATCTCCCCTATTAAAAAAAAAGAATTTTCTACTTGGCAAATGTAATGAAAGATCAGCTAGACTGACATACTTGTCAGTCATATGCTCACAGCATTTAACCACAGGACCTATTCTATATCTTAAAAGTCTTCATGTACATGCTCTCCGAATATTGAATTACTTTCTGTTGCTAGTTTACCAAGTTTGGTCAAATAACCCACTTTTCCAATAGGATTTTACTTTACTCAAGGGTTCTTTGATTAATGATCTTAAAAAAGGGTGGTATTGTATTTGTTTGCCTAGGGAGAGGTAGACAGATCTCTGTGAGTTTCAGGCCAGCCTGATTTACTCAGTGAATTCCAGACCATCTAAGACTACAGAGGAGGAAGACCTTGTCTTAAAAAAAAAAAAAACAAACAAAAAAAGCTGGGTGGCGGCGGCACGTGCTTTTAATCCCAGCACAGGCAGAGGCAGGCAGATCTCTGTGAGTCGAGGCCAGCCTGGTCTACAAAGCTATGCAGAGAAATCCTGTTTTGAAAAAAAAAAGAAAAGAAAAAAGAACAAATCCTTTGTTCTAAGTTTCTTTTTTGACGCTGGGGCTCAGTTGGCACAGTGCTTGCTAGCATGTGTAAAGTCCATACTTTATGTCCCCAGTATTGCCAGAGCAAGGATGGGATACATGCCTATATGTCCCATACTTATGAGGTGGAGACAGAAGGATCAGGAGTTCATGTGCTACTCTTGGATGCATAAGGAGTTTTGTGCCAGCCTGGGTTACCTGACACCCAGCCTCAAAAGTTTTTTCTCTAAAAAAAATTTTAAGGATATATTCATATTGTTTATCTCCATCTCATACTAATGTACGTTTATAATCCTTTGGTTTAGGCCAGTGTTCTAGCATCCAGTTCTACTGCAGCAGCTGCTACTCTTTCTCTGGCTAATTCAGATGTCTCACTGCTAAATTACCAATCGGCTTTGTACCCATCATCTGCTGCACCAGTTCCTGGAGTTGCCCAGCAAGGTGTTTCTTTACAGCCTGGCACCACCCAGATCTGTACTCAGACAGATCCGTTCCAACAAACGTTTATAGTATGTCCACCTGCTTTTCAGAGTAAGTATGCAAACTCCTCTCTCCTTACTATTGGACTGGACTTGCCCCATTCTAGGCAGGTCTAGTTGTTTAGTTTTGATCTTTGACAAGTTTAAGCTGATGATGAAGAAAACTGGAATTTGGAGCTGTCACAAAGTAGATTTCTCTTTACATTGATTTTTCTCTAATTATGATACTGCCTGATAGATTAGAGGAGCTCAGTGTGTGTTTTCAATAACTAAATTGCCTCATAACGTGTTTGTGCCCATTGAAGCAAAATATCATTTATCTTGTATAGGCATATATGTCTTAGTATGTAGAGTATATGAATCTTTAAATTGCTATAATCAGAATTGAATCTAATCTTATTCCATTTTAAACTAAAATAAAATGTTACTTTATTATAGGATATAAACAGTTAATATAGAAACTAAAAAATTTCATTCAGTAATACAGATCATTATTTTTGAACTGAAAAATTATGCAAGCAAGCTGAAGTACTTGTGGGGAAGACATTAAGACATCTGCTTCAGCCTATGACTCATATTCTTCAAACTCCATATCTATCCCAATAATATTAATTTTTACATTTACATGCTTCCTTATGTTTTCATTATTATTTTATAATCCAGTCTGTTCAATTCTGCCCCCTCCCCCAGAAAATATTGGAAACATGTGTTGAATGTTTTGGGAAGCTATTTGGAAGGTTAAATTATTTTAAGTCTTTTCTGACAATACACTTAGCTTTTCCTTAGAATGTCAGTGTCAGGCCAGTATAGTGGCTCACACCTGTAATCCCAACAGGAAGACTATGGAGCCAGTCAGGCAATATAGTAAGATGGTCTCCTCTAAAAAAAAAAGCAAAAGTAAAAACAGTAAGTAAGCCAGACTCAGAAAACAAATACCATATTTTCTCTTATATGTGGACCCTAGACTTAAACCCTCCATTTTCAACTTCCTGTCCTTGTGAGTGTGTATTTATATGTGTGTTTGAGGGTCTTGAAATTAGAAAGGGGTTGGTGGTGGGGAGAAGAGACCTCACAGGAGGAGGGAAATAGAGAGGGGAAATGGAGTACATGTAACTGGAAAGCAGAATGGGGACTAGCTGGGAGAAGAAAGAACCACCTGCCGGGGAGTGGGGAGGAATAGGACAAAAAGAGGAAGAATGAGAAGAAAGTGTCTTGACATGTGTATGAGGATGCTATGATAAAACCCACTTTGTATGCAAACCTAAAACACTGATTTTGGAAAGAGAAAGAAAAACTTGGTATCCTGTAGGAATAAACTAAGATCCAGGCTTCTCTTAGCTTTTTATATAGAAGCAGGTAGCATTTTTATCTTTTTATCTCAGTTAAATATTGATTATGACTTTTGTTTGTTTGGTTTCTGACAGAGTCGGAGCAAGCGGAAGGAAATGAGGGGCTGGGGGAGACTGAGAGCTTACCGGGAGGCCAGGAGAGCGATAGCGATGTAAACCAGGGAGAGGCCACAGGGAGAGCGGAGGAGCAGATTCACAATCCGTAAATGCAAATTTAGCCTAACTTACCAAATTTTTTTCTATATGTATCTCATAGGAGTAATTCTGTCTTTGGGTTGTCACAAACTGATGCTTCTATAGAACTTTGCAAATTAGCTACCCCTCCTCTTACCCTTTCCAAAGTAAATTCTGCAGGAACAGTTTTTAGATGTGAGATTCTGAGGTCCTCTGCTACCTCTTAGATGATACTTAGATAAAGTAAGAACTTTTGAGTTTTGGGTTTTTTTTTTTCCCTCGAGACAGGGTTTCTTTGTATTGTTTTGGAGGCTGTCCTGGAACTCGCTCTGTAGACCAGGCTGTCCTGGAACTCACAGAGATCTGCCTGCCTCTGCCTCATTAGTGCTGGGATTAAAGGCATGCATCACCAATGCCAAGCTAACTTTTGAGTTTTTTAATAGAACAAAATGTAAACTGAGGCAATAGAGCAGGGAGTGTGGGAGAACTCCTTTTGGTATTAATTTGATAAATATAAGCTTGGGGGGAAATTTTTTTTATCCAAGAAATCTAGATAAGGAGCTAATAGAGCACATTTTAAAATGTTTAGAACCAGAGGGAGTTTGGGAAGAAGGAGGTAATGGTGGTACCTTGAATACATTATTATATATACTAGACAGTCCTTCTACAGTTATCAGTTTATGCTTATGTATGTATGGCTCTAGGAGGTGGTTAATATCACCCTGACCTATAAATGATGATACCTGAAAATGACCAAAGTATTCTAGTCATTTATGGTAGACCAATTGAAACATAGGCAGTGTGGTTCATCACATAAGCATTGAAATATCCCATCCTGCCTTTTGGGCATTTAAACCCCAGTAGTTGTATAAAGTTGTTGGTTAACTTAACCAACCTCGGCCATGTTCTGATTTCTATCCAGCAGTCCTCTATTTCAGGTTGCTCACATTTCTGTTTTTTACAAAATGGCCTCAGTGTAAGTAAGTGCAGCAACCATACATTTCTAGTTCAGTACTATAAAGTAATTCCCATACTCTTCCAGTTGACTAGTGTACACATTTGGTGAAGTGGTAACTAGTCTATAACTTTTTCCCCCTTTTATTTTATCACTTTGGGAGCCATAGATGAGCTACTGTAGTGATACATTTCCTCCCAAAGTTTGATTCCTCAGTCTCTACAGGTTTTGGGAAGCTCTTACACAACACTGGAGTTAGTCATGCACCAGAGACTATAGACAAGAGTTTTGCACGGCTTAGCTTTCCGATTGGAGAATATTTCCTAAGGCACCTTGGCTGACAACTTTTAAATTTTAATATTCTTATTACTTTCTATTTTAAATAAGTAAAACTTAAAAAAAATTTTTAAGCAGCTTTAAATCTGATTTTACTAATCCCTCTTTGAACATTCCTAGAATGTTTTTTTCTTAATCACTAATTGTTACTAAATTCCTCACAAATTACTAACATAGAAAATTGGAAGAATGACTGAAAATAGCAGTATTATGCTCTATAAATTCTGCTCACTTATTGACACTTCTATAATAATGTTAAGGCAACAATAAGGCCGGGAATAGTGGCACACAATTGTAATCCCAGCATTTGAAAGATTGAAACAGTAAGATGACAGCTTTGTAGCCAGTCAGGGCTACATAAGAAGACATTGCTGAGTGGGAGTGGGCAAAGAGGCAGAGAGAGCTTAAGACTGGTATTAGTTTTAGCATCTTCTAATCGAAATGCTTGTGTCTTCACTTAGCAGAATTGCAGGCATTAGTAGACAGGAGGCATGACAGAAATTTAAACTCTATAGTGAAAGTGCTGATAGGAGGGTAAGTCATAAATCTTCCAGGGCTCTTTAGTCTTAACAAAAAGAACTGTGTTGGGCCCCTTTGCTCCAGCACAAGACAATGCCATTTACAGAAAACATTTATTTGTTGTTTATACCAAAAGCATAATGTGTATTGAGATAAGTTAGACACAGGCACTGTTTCCCAGCAGCAGTTCATTTTCCCAGCTGCCGCTTACCTAGGAGAGTCAAATGAGGATGCTACCAACAAGAACAGGTTTCTAGGATAGGAAGAGATTTCTGTAAAGTCATATAGGTTTCTTTTCTTTTCTTTCTTTCTTTCTTTTTTTTTTTTTTTTTTTTTTTGAGACAGGGTTTCTCTGAGGCTTTGGAGGCTGTCCTGGAACTAGCTCTTGTAGACCAGTCTGGTCTCGAACTCACAGAGATCCACCTGCCTCTGCCTTCCAAGTGCTGGGATTAAAGGTTGGAGCCACCAACTCCCAGCGTCATATAGGTTTCTATATGCCTGTTATTTCTAGGCATAATTTCTTCATTTTCTGTTTACTTTTATCTTTAGATACAATATGTGATTAATTTTTTAACTACATTATTTTTTTTGAGGAGGAAAATATTCTTTAAGGTATTCTACATAAGAGGGTAACAAGTTATAAATGATTGAGTTATAGTTGTGTTTAATTCTGTTTTTGATAGATCACAGTCTTAAAAGCACTTTCTTCCTTACCCACTCCCTTAGTGACGGAGAGATAAATATGACTTAGAGAGGCTTTTGCCTATATGAATAATGGGAATGTGATAGTATTGTAACATTAAGAGTGTGTACATTCCCTTAAGCCAGCCTTCCCTATATAAATGCCTTTGCACTAATTTAACCTGAAGGGAACAGGGCCTCCTTTTCTTAACTCCAATGACTTCTGTGAGTGAAAGGGCTTTGTCTTAAGTGTTTAGAATGAAAACCTGGAAAAAGTTAAAATATGCCCCCCCTAGCAACAACAACAAACCCAGTCACAGTATTCTGAGATCCAGCAAAGCAACTTAACTATGATGTTTTTTCCATCAGCTGGGCTACAAGCAACAACAAAACATTCTGGATTCCCTGTGAGGATGGATAATGCTGTGCCAATTGTACCCCAGGCGCCTGCTGCTCAGCCACTACAGATACAGTCAGGAGTACTTACTCAGGTAAAAGCCAAAACAGCATGCTCAACATTGCTGAAGCACTATTGAGAATCAGATATTTGATCCTGAAAAAAAATATTTGCCTTGACTATAAGATCTTTCTCACTCATGATTCAGAGGTCTTAACTGAAACATCTATAACAGAACAGAATACTCATTCCTGTCTGTCTTTTGTAACACTTCCATTACCTCCTTAGACTTGAAGAAGTATTTTAGACCTTGAGAAATGGTACACAAGCATAAGTTTTTTTTTTTTTTTTGGTGTAAAATTAGGGTTTCATTCTTGCCCTTCTGGTGTCTTTTTTTTTTTTTTTGTTTAGTTTTAGAATTTTATAACAGTTTAAGGCTAGATCATATCAGGCTACCTCCTCAAATATAATCCTTCACTCATTGTTTAGTAGAAAAACTTTCAAATGTTACATTTGCCAGATGATTGAGAAACTAAGGTCAGAGACAAAATCATGAAGGATTTTATGTTATACACCATTATACTTTGAATTCTGTATTAATGTGTGTGGCCCATGACTTACAAGAAATTCTTGAATCCAAGTCTTACAGTGTGAGTAGGAAGATTTCTTCATAAACCAAATGCCTATGTTTTATAGAAGAGATACTCTGAATCTGGTCCAAGAAAGATTCCTATACTTTTGGTCTGATACCATTGACTTTTGGCTTAGTGGGCCAAAGCCATGCACAGCTGAAAGGGAAAAGCTGTGTTTGGCATGTACATTTTAGGTGATAGGAAATTAGTTCATTGTTAGTAATAACTTGGGGGGAATGAGAACCCTTCTGAATCCGGATAACCTGCCTCGGTGTTTATTTCACTCACCTGCCTAATCTACATTTCAGGGAAGCTGTACACCACTAATGGTAGCAACTCTCCACCCTCAAGTAGCCACCATCACACCGCAGTATGCGGTGCCCTTTACCCTGAGCTGCGCAGCAGGCCGGCCGGCGCTGGTTGAACAGACTGCTGCTGTACTGGTAATTCCCCTCACTTGATTGTGTTACTAACAGAGTTTCTTTGGTTTCTTTCTTTCTTTCTTTTTTTTTTTTTCCTGTTTGTTTTTGTTCTGTTCTGGTTTTCTCATTAAAAAAAACACACACACACACAAATTAGCTTAGTCTTTGCAGAGGGGCATGGAAGCATGTGCCATCTTGTGGCTGTGTTCTTGCTACATCTTTAATGTCTCATTATTTCCTCCCCAACATTTGATGAGGCACTGTGTTTGACTCTGAGGATCATTGTGGTTCTTTGCCGGCCTAGAGTGGTTAAAGCTCTCTGTGTAGCCTCAGCAGAGCTTCAGTCCTCTTGCCTGTTTCTGCCCTCTCTTATCCTTGGCCCTTGAAATAGAAGGACATCAATGGCCTTCCATTGGCCCTGCCACAGGTATCCAGATGCCAATCTTTGAATTCCCTATCAAGCTAGCTGCCCCCTTTTGTTATTTTAATCTTCTAAAACATTTGTATATATAGAAATGTTTAAAATGGTCTTAATGATTTGCCTTATCATTAACATTAACTTCCTTCTGTGACAGAAGAGAGTGCTTTTGGCATTCATGATCAGTGGTACTTTTTATATTTCATTTAAAGATATTCCCTTTAAATACATTTAGAGATCATATTGATCAAATTTAAAGGTGAACTTACTTGTAGGAATGTTTTTGCGAAATTATTTTACAAATAAATTCTAATACAAAGATGGAAAACATAGCTGACAAAGTTGCAAATACAGTCTCTTTGTTATTAGAAGCTCTGAGGGAGAAGCTAGTGCTGATAGCTGTAGTTGTAGGTGAGTCCAGCTTAGAGATGGAAAAACAAACACAGCTTGCTTTGAAATGTATTTCAGGATTTGTAACCGTCAGAGTGAGTTTGGATGTGTTTGTTTTGGTTTATTTGGGCGAGTTAGAATTGTTTATTTTAAACCCAGCATTTCATTATTTGAAATGTATAATTAGGTAAGCCTCTTCCAGCCTAAATGATACTATTGAATCCCCTGTTATTTCTTGTCTTTTACGGTGGATTTGAATTTCTTTTGTTATCTCAAGTATTTATGAATGAAGACAGAAACATGTTTGGATGGAACTTGCTTGGTTTTCAGTTTACAAGTCTTTGCCACCTGTGGATTGTTTCTCATCTGCATAAAGTCCAAGTGCTAGGGAGTCAGGTATAATTCCAACATGGTTGACCCACGTTTTAACTTGCTCACTTGTAGTTTTGAGATTGGGAATGTCAGTTGACCCCTTTCTTACCTTTGCTGCTCTTTCTAAGTCTGCTCTAGCCATTTGTTAAGCTTTGCATATTTTTGTTCTTCCTCTGTCAAAACAGTTCGTCGCTTGGAACGCCAGATTTCTGCCTCACATTGGAATGTTATTTCTTGCTTTGTATTAAACTACATGCTTTGTCTTGTGCAGGTGTTGGCTTATGGAAAGGCGCATGGTGTGACTTAACATCTTCTCTTGTTTTCTGTTTTGTTCTGTTTCGTTTTTTAATGCTGCGTATGGTAGCAGATGTGTTTGCAGTTTCTCTGCTCAGAGGGCTTCTTGTTTGGAACCAGTATTTGTAACAAGTGGATCTGTTACTTGCAGAAATATTTTTAAAACTGTTTTGATAGCCTTGCAATTTGAAATTCATGAAATAGAACCATATGTACCTAGTAGGTAATTGCACTACGGAACTCAGGTTTAAGAAGAAAACTTCCAAATCTGTTACATATTTTTTTCAGAAAGTGCCACACTTTCTGTAAAAAGTACATAAAACATACTTTGTTACTTAGTCTATCGTAAGTACAATCATTGTTTCTTGAAAACTAGAAGCACTCTATTTTCCTATAGTGATTAGTTTTGTGTTAAAATATATTTTACAAATTATACATAAAAATGAATATTTTTGGCAACTTTTAAGAATAATATGGTACTTTTCAAAAATATTTGCACATTGACTTAATTTTTAATTCTATCATATAGCTATAAATAATGTTGCTAGTTCTTTTGCTGACATCAGCTTATTTACCAAAGGCTTTGGTATTTGGCCATCCATGTCTGCTGCGTTTTCTACCCTTCTAATAAAGGGAGCAATTCTGCCCTATAGTTTACGGGTCGAATTGATCTGTTGTCCTATCTGATTGGCTTTCAAATTTTAGAATTTCTATTTTTTAATCCTAAGAGAGTCCTCTTAACTCTTTCTAGGGCTGTGTTTTATAGGTTTTTACTTACCAGGGTTCACCTGAACCTTCAGGTTCCTTTTCTCAACAGCACAGAAACTCATAACCTGCAGGGACCTTTGTTTCTTAGTGCCCTGCTGGTCAGGTTATGGTGATAGCCAAAGGAGAGCAGTTTGCTTCTTCTCTTTTCACAACTCTTGCAACCATAAGTAAGCCCTCTGTACTGTCTCTGTCTTTTCTTTTATCTCTGCAAGTTAACAATCTACATTTTTTTAAGATACAAATTTTTCTTTCATCTGAAAAACAAAATAAAAAACTAAGAATGAGTCAAGTCTGGATCTCTCTACGTATGTTTCATTGCAGCAAGCCTGGCCTGGAGGAACACAACAAATTCTCCTACCTTCAACTTGGCAGCAGTTGCCTGGGGTAGCTCTGCACAACTCTGTCCAGCCTACTGCAGTGATTCCAGAGGCTATGGGGAGTAGTCAGCAGCTGGCAGACTGGAGGTAAGTACCCTGTTTCTCTGGGAAATGTGTATAGGTAGGATCCTGTGGAGTAGGAATAGTTGATATGAAGAGACTAGAAAGAAAATTAGGAGATTTTTATACTTGGAATTCTTTGAGAAAAGGACTTATCAGGCTAGAAAAGGAGTCATAAGAAAATTTGAAAGATAGGAAAATGCAGGTTCTGCAGTCGGGAATCATTTACTTCATATTTAAACAAGGCCTTAAGTGACTAGAAAGAACATGCCTTCCAGTCCCAGTGACTGACTGTAAAAGTAAAGCACAGCAGTGCCTAGTGTCTTAATCTCTAATGCCTGGTTGGTCCTGGATTTCCAGTGGGTTGGGAGTCACTCTTCTGCTTCTTTATGTTGGAACAGGAATGCCCACTCTCATGGCAACCAGTACAGCACTATCATGCAGCAGCCATCTTTGCTGACTAACCATGTGACATTGGCCACTGCTCAGCCTCTGAATGTTGGTGTTGCCCATGTTGTCAGACAACAGCAATCTAGTTCCCTCCCTTCAAAGAAGAATAAGCAATCTGCTCCAGTCTCGTCCAAGTAAGTCTGTGTTAGAGCTTATGGTTAAGACTTTGGGAGTTATGTTGTTCTCATTCAGCATTATGCAGTATAGGTATTTTGGGTATGAAACAAGTGACTGCCAAATTGAGTATGAGCTGACCTTTTCATCTGAGCAGGCGTGTCCTTGATATAATCATCCTTTATCTCTGCTGTCACTTTGAACCCGGGCCACCTTTATAATTTTTTAATTTTTTGTTACATTTACTATTTGTGTGATGGGGTGTGTGAGTGTGTGCTTGTGAGTATGCATATATGTGATGCACATGCCTTGGCAGATGTATGTAGGTCAGAGGACAAAGTACAGGAGTCAGTTCTCTTCTCTGGCATTGAACTCAGGCTTGGTGGCAAGCACCTTTACCCACTGAGCCATCTGACCACTGATGTTTCATTTTCTGCCTACTGTTTACAAAGTGAAACTTAATCTGGGAGCAAAGGTATATAAAAATGTAAATTCCTTCATATTTTGCTGTTCTTATCCTTGGAAACTCTAGCCAGAATTAGAACTTTTATAGTTAAATGTGTTATCTTAATGATCAGATTAAAAAAAAAAAACCAGAAAGCAATTAGGAAGTCAAAAGAAAAGGTATACAATTGGGAGGGTAGGGGCAAGGACCAAATAATCCTAACTTGTGGACTTTTCCTATAGATCCTCTCTGGAAGTTCTGCCTTCCCAAGCTTATTCTCTAGTTGGAAGCAGTCCTCTGCGTACCACATCTTATAATTCCCTAGTCCCTGTCCAAGATCAGCATCAGCCAATCATCATTCCAGATACCCCCAGCCCTCCTGTGAGTGTCATCACTATCCGCAGTGACACTGATGAAGAAGAGGACAACAAATATAAGCCCAATAGGTAAGCTAGGCAAAGGGTCGCCAAGCATTGTCTGTCTTTGACTGTTCACATCAGTGTACCCTTGGTCTTTGACTAATAGCTTTATTCAAGGGCAATTTTGACTGAAAAAAGAACAAACAGAAAAGGTAATTTATAAGTTTGTCAGGGAAACTCAGAAGTTTTGAAAACTGAACTCTGTCAAGTTTTCTATAATGTTATTCACCAAATAGATCAGTCTTTCAGACACATTAGAGAGCAGTTTGATATGGCTACTCTAGCTTGAAATGCATGTTAAACCTCAGACATGACCCTTGCCTTCAAGGAGCTATCTTGAGAACAGAGCCACAACAGGCTCTAGTCACAGTTCATTGGGATAAATAAGGTAGTTAGATTATTTGAAACTCTTATATCTTAATCTGGGAAGGCTTTAAGAGAGGTAGGATCCTTCCCCTTATATGGTCTGAAAGCTGAAGGACTTAGGTATCAGCTTTTTCCATTTATCCTAGCATTTTTGCAAATGTATTAGTTATTTTTGTATTGCTGTGGTTGAACACCATGACAAAAAGCAACTGAGGGGTGAAATGGTACATTTTGGCTTAGAGTTTCAGAAAGGATAAATATGGTCAATTTATCATGGTGGGGAAGACATGGAAGCAGGAGCATGAATCTGGACTGGTAGGAAACTGATCACACTTGACACATGGAGAGGGAGAGGAAGCGGAGAGAAGCTGGGAGTGAGGCCATGCTATACAGTCTCAGAGCCTGCTCCAGCGAAATGCTCTCTAGCAGAGCTCCGCCTCCTAAAGGGTTCATAACCTTCACACACATTGCCATCAACCGGGAACCAGGTGAGCTTGTGGGGGTACTACATTCAAGCCACATCATCAAATCCTTAGCTAGGCAGTTTACTGAGAGGGGACATTTCTCTTAGTGTGACTGGCTTATGCCTTGATTGGTCTGTGTTATGTTCTTCACTGAGCTTTTGGTGTTAGGTATAACCTTTACCTACAATTCACACATAAAATTAAATTAAGAGACTTTAGCGAATTGTAACTAAGTGAGAGTTAAAGTTATTATATCCAGGTGTGGTGCCACATGTCTTTAATCCCAGCATTCAGGAGCCAGAGGCAGGCAGATCTCTATAATGAGTTCAAAGCCAGCCTGATCTACATTGCAATTTTTACACCCTTCCTTAAAAAAGTAAAAAAAAAAAATTACAGATAAGTAAATAAAATATTTATTATAAACTTATGCTCATGTGTCTATGAATTTGGGTGCTAGTGGAGGCTGGAGGAGGACATGGATTCCTGTGGTTATGGGCTGCCTGACTTTAGTGCCTGAAACTGAATTCTAGACCTGGAAGAGCAACAAGCACTCTTAATGAACCACCTCTCCAGCCTGCTAAGTGACGTTTGAATGAACTTAGAAAAACAAAGTTAGAAAGCATTTTGGGCCTTTAGTTCAAAAGGACTATGTGAAAAATGGTAAACTTGCAAGCCAGGTGAGAAAGAGGTCATTGAACTGATTTGGGGAAGAGAAAAAAATAAACCTGGGGAGGGAAAGTGACAGAGTAATAGCAAAAATTATATATGAGGTCTAGCCAGCATGATTTCTTTGACTGAAGCCAATCCTATTAAAAAAGTAAGGAAGCTGGAGATAGTAAAGTAAGAGTCATGATGGAATCTTCTGTAAAAATATGGTGAAACTGGGCATGGTAGTGTGGTGCACATCTGTTACTCCAGTGTTTGGTGAGACTGGGCATGGTAGTGTGGTGCACATCTGTTACTCCAGTGTTTGGTGAGACTGGGCATGGTAGTGTGGTACACATCTGTTACTCCAGTGTTTGGTGAGACTGGGCATGGTAGTGTGGTGCACATCTGTTACTCCAGTGTTTGGTGAGACTGGGCATGGTAGTGTGGTGCACATCTGTTACTCCAGTGTTTGGTGAGACTGGGCATGGTAGTGTGGTGCACATCTGTTACTCCAGTGTTTGGTGAGACTGGGCATGGTAGTGTGGTGCACATCTGTTACTCCAGTGTTTGGTGAGACTGGGCATGGTAGTGTGGTGCACATCTGTTACTCCAGTGTTTGGGAAGCAGAGACTAGAGGATTTTGAATTTCTGACTTTCTGGCCATGCTGGGCTACGTAGCAAGACTCTGCCTCAAAGAAACAAAAAACAAAAAACAAAACCTATAGTGAGAAGTTAGATTAAAGGTGGGAACATTTTAGTCTAAGAGAATGATAAGGAGAAAAAGTGGTGCTTGAAGAATACTATTGAAAGAACTATGAATGAAAACAGTTAAGAAGCAACATGGAGTAGTTGTGGACTTCAAAATCACTGAGTCCTGAGTCTGAGTGCTGTCTTTACCATTTATTCTTTGTGTAACCTTGTATGAATTCCTTGACTATGTTTTAATTTCCTTATTTACAGAATAGGGGTAGTAGTGCCTACTGTTCAGGTTTAAAAAAGACTCCCTGGCTTGTATAGTATGTGAAAACAGTGCCTAATGGCAGAGTAAATACTTCTTGGCCATTTGCTGCTGGGGTTACTGTCATCATTGTTAGAAGAGAACCACAAGCCACGTAGGATCTAAAAGGGCAATTATAATTGTCTGTATTTTTTTTTCTTCTCAGCTCTGGCCTGAAGGCGAGGTCTAATGTCATCAGTTATGTTACTGTCAATGATTCTCCAGATTCTGACTCTTCCCTGAGCAGCCCATATTCCACAGACACTCTGAGTGCTCTCCGGGGCAACAGTGGGTCACTTCTGGAAGGACCTGGCAGAACTGCCACAGATGGTACTGGCACCCGTACCATCATTGTGCCTCCATTGAAAACACAGCTTGGCGACTGCACTGTAGCAACCCAGGCCTCAGGTAAGTAGAATCTTAGCAGTTAGAATTGAATTTTCCTTGGGTGTGTATATTTTTAATATTTAGTTATACTATGCCAGTGGTTAAGGCTAAGCATAGATATTCTTAAAGAGTGCTTAATTCTGAAATCAGTTCCCTGTAATAGGAAAGTTTGTTTGCATCAATTTATCTTCTTCCATGTATTTGCTTGGATTAATATGAAAATGAGGTTGTGTTTAGCATCACTCTAGTGTTGTAGATATTTTCACTTCTGGTGGGGAAATAGCAGGAAGAGAATCTAGTAAGCAGTTTGACTTGCTACCGGTGAGTTGGATTTGATCTAGAATAGGAAGGGCGTGGTGATACTAAAGATGACTGAGCTGGAGATGGCTTAGTGTTTAAGAGTGCTTGCTGCTCTTTCATTGTACCCATGTTATGCAGCATACAGCTACTACATAGCTCCAGCTCTAGGGGAAACAACCTCCTTCTGGACTCTGGACACTCTCAGATATACACACATACATACGCATAAAAGTAAAATACTTTAACATACCCTTTCGACTGTCAGTCATAGCAGTGATACTTGGTTAGTTTCATTTTTACCCATTAACTCCCATCAGTTTTGCTATTAGGTATCGATCTTCAGGTTTTTCATTTAGTTGCTGTGTTAGTTGTGCAGTAACAAACTGATTTCATAACAGAAGCTTACTTTTACTCATATGACTTCCCTTTGCAAGTGTCCCTGGTTGCTAGGCTTGCAATTCTTAGCATGCTATCAGAAGTTTACAGGAAAGAAACCTTTCTTAACCTCTAGATGCAGAGAGGCCCAGCAAAGGTTAGGCAGCAGCCTCCCATTGGCAACTTTATTACAAAGGAAGGTCGTTGTTTTAATTTAGGCACAGTGGCTAGGTCCTAATTTCCACAGTTACCAGCCTGTTTCTCTAGTAGCTGCCATAGCCTGGCAGGAATTCTGTTCCCACAGGCACTGGCTCTGTTGCTGCCGGTAAAGGTAGCTTTAACTAAACCTCTATTATTCTATTTATAAATAAGACTCGAAATTCAAAGGCTGGGGTGAAAACCTGTGAGCTCAGAGAGGCTGAGTAGCAAAAAAGCTAACCTTCTCTCTTTGCTGGCATCTCTGAAAGCCCTGTGTGTCCTCTCCACCAAACCAGAAAAACCTGAGCCACTCCAAATTCATCCTACTACTTCCTGTGCCTCACTATCTCTCCTGGATGCCCTCTGATGCTCTATGATCATCACTGTTTGTCAGCTAATTGCTAACTCAGCCTCCTGACCCATTTAATTTAATCAACACAAATGCAAACTCGAGGTTCACATTGGGATCTGATATCCCCCAACAGGAGGGGAGGGATGGCTTTTAGTGTTAGAATAGCCATCTGTGTCTTCCACATAAACAGTGTTTTGTTATGGGTTATGCTGCTTACTGCTTATAGGCCATACAAGAGTTCTGATTTAAGAACTTGTGTTAAGTCAATGTGCTTCTCCTCCATATAGTCAGCTGTCTTGGAGACAAGGTTGAACATACTGATACCAGGTTTCTAAATATAATTATTAGGACTTATGCATGAATAATAATAATCCCTAATAATATAGTCCACATTCCAGTTTTCCTAAGGAAACTTTTATATTCTACCATCCTTTAATTTCTTAGAATGTGAACATAGTACATACCTGTTGTAAAATAATTAATTTTAAGGTGTGTTACTTTTGTTTATGTGCTGGAACATTTGTTTAATGACTCAAAGATGTGTTTGATTAAAGAAAATTCTCCTGTGGTCAGGAGGCTGGGTCAGCAACAGATGACAGGAAGTTGTAGGGAGGAGCCAGGTGAAGAAGGGTTCATAGGCGGGGTGAGAAGGAGCATGAGAACTTGGGAGAGAAGGCGGGAACAAAGGGAGAAGGACATCAGGGCCAGCCACCCAGCTACACAGCAGTCCACGGAGTATGAATAAGATTAACAGAAGTAAGAACAGGAAAAGCCCAGAGGCAAAAGGTAGATGGGATAATTTAAGAAAAGCTGGCAAGAAACAAGCCAAGCTAAGGCCAGACACTCATAACTAAGAGTAAGCCTCCTTGTGTGACTCATTTGGGAGCTGGGTGGCAGCTCTCCCCCCCAAAAGAATAAAACAACATACAACATATACCCCAAAGGATAGACTTTTGCCTTTATCGTAGACCCTTTGGACCTTTAAATATCCTAAGAATTACAAATATCTTTCTGAGCTCCCCATTGTCACTTCTTATTTAATCCCATTCCTATATAAAACTATAGGTTCATTGGGGACATGGAGTGTGTCCTCTGTATTTCTAGTGTTTCCTTATATGTAATAGAAGATTAGATAATTTTACTTAAGTAACCATTTAAGGGTTTTTGTGTCAAGGCAGAAAAGGGATGGATAATACAGTTTCTGTTGTTTTGGCACAGATGTAATTAAAGGAGTAAGGAATACTGAGACCTTAACTCTTGCAAACTACAGACAATTGTGGACTTATGTGATACTCTAAGGCTAGGGCAATGATGCTAACCCTTGACCCTTTTTCAGGTCTCCTTAGCAGTAAGACCAAGCCAGTGGCCTCAGTGAGTGGGCAGTCATCTGGATGCTGTATCACCCCCACAGGGTACCGAGCTCAACGAGGGGGGACCAGCGCGGTGCAGCCACTCAACCTTAGCCAGGTAAGCGCTAGGGGCTGCTACCTTCTGTTTGAGTTCTCCCCTGTTGTTACTCTCTGGAGAACCTTGCTTCTGGCTGGACTGCTGAATAAAGCCAAATGAAGCTCCTTTTGTGTCAAATATCTGGTGTTCTGTGGCCTGCGTCATACCTGCATGCGCTTCGTCTCTTTATTTGATCTCTGAGTGTGTTTGTGATGTAGTGCACTACCATACATGCTTTGGGAGCAGATTCTCTTCCTTTATCTCTAGGCCATAAATAACTTAAGATGGAGGAGCCACTTAGATCAGCTGGTCCTAATCTTGCCTTTTCCTAGAGTTGGGACTGTGTCTTGCCCTGCTGTGTAACCCTCTGATGGGGTAGTAAGGGGTTCTCATGTGATAGCAGAAGGGCGTTTAGCTGTGTGTCGGGGAGAGTGGAAAACACATGCAGGTGCAAAATGGAAGCTGACTTAGTGCATGTGCTCCAGGTTCCACTTTAAAGAGGGCTCTGCAGAGCTTAGAGGAGAGCAGAAGAAGACAGCAAGAAAGGTTAAAGAAAAACCACTGATTTAGGATAGGGTGCGTTAAGTTACTGACGTGGGCATGGACACCCCGTGAATTCAAGAGTCTCCGCTTCTCTCATACTGTCATACTTGAGCAAACTTGCTTTCTTGAACAGAGTTAGGATCTGTTCTTCCAAGAGGCAGAGGCAAAATTGACTGTCTTCTAACAGCATCGATTGCCAGTTTGGGGGATTCTGTTGCAAGGCAGTCCAGAAACAGTACACATCAGCACCTCAAGGCCTTTGGTGCTATGAGCCAGAGTGACCTCAAGATTCCTCATTCCCTTCTTCCTCCTTCCAGAACCAGCAGTCATCGTCAGCTCCAACCTCGCAGGAAAGAAGCAGCAACCCTGCTCCCCGCAGACAGCAGGCATTTGTGGCCCCGCTCTCCCAAGCCCCCTACGCCTTCCAGCATGGCAGCCCACTGCACTCGACGGGGCATCCACACTTGGCCCCAGCCCCTGCTCACCTGCCAAGCCAGCCTCACCTGTATACGTATGCTGCTCCCACTTCTGCTGCTGCACTGGGCTCCACAAGTTCCATTGCTCATCTCTTCTCCCCCCAGGGTTCCTCCAGGCACGCTGCAGCTTATACCACCCACCCTAGCACTCTGGTGCACCAGGTTCCTGTCAGTGTTGGGCCTAGCCTCCTCACTTCTGCCAGCGTGGCCCCTGCTCAGTACCAACACCAGTTTGCCACTCAGTCCTACATTGGGTCCTCGAGAGGCTCAGCAATTTACACTGGATACCCACTGAGTCCTACCAAGATCAGTCAGTATTCTTATTTGTAGTTGAGCACCAGGGAGGCTTCATGCTGCCTGCAACCGGCCCTGAGTTCTTAATGGACTCTGGTGAGCACCTCCATTATCTTCTCTTGAAAGTTCCTAGCCAGCAGCTCGTTCTGCAGGGGCCCACTGAAGCAGAAGGCTTTTCTCTAGGGAACCATTCTCAGTGTTGACTGCATTGTTGTAGTCTCCCAAGTCTGCCCTATTTTTTAATTCTTTATTCTTGTGACAGCATTTTTGGACTTTGGAAGAGCTCAGAAGCCCATCTTCTGCAGTTACCAAGGAAGAGCGATCATTCTGAATCTACCCTCTGATGTACATTCTATCTCTTTGGCTTGATTTCCAGAGATGCTTTTAAAAACAAGTGGCACCTGTCTTTACTTTGTTTTATTAAGATTGCTGGTCACAGGAAAAATGCTGATAGAAGGATTTGAAATCTTGTAACAGATGAAAAAAAGTAATTACTTTTTGTTTGTTTAAAAACCAAGACTTCTTGCCTTTTATTTTAAAAGCAGCTTATATGAGGCTGTACTTTTCCTGTTAGGCATTTCTCCTCGAAAGTTGATCTTTGTTAATGGCACATTGAAACTTAACTGATTTAGTTATTTTTTTCATGTTGTGTTTCCTTATTGGGCAGTTATTAGTACTTTTGGCAAAAGTGGCCAAGTACTGAGATGTTTGCAGTTGCTTTTGTGTTCATGACAGAGTGGTGTTAAAAAGGCAGCCCACCACTTGCTGGACCTCAGTGTGAGAGGATCTATGCCCACCAAGGATTCTTTTTAAATGAAGCACCATGAATTCTTTCTTGGATTATTTTTTTAACGTTCTCTCTCTCTGTGATTCAACTTAAATTCTCCTACTAGAAAAGTCAGTGTGGTGGATTTTTTGTTGTTTTTTGTTTGTTTTGCATACAATAGTATGCAGAATCTCTCTCTAGGATGGGATACTGGCACTGGTGAGCTTTGCCTAAAATTTCTATGAATTTTCAATAGGATGCCTCTGTTTTCCTCATCTCCCCCTTCTGTTTCATGTGACTTATTTGAGGGGAAAGCTAAAGAAACTAAAACCAGATAAGTTGTGTATAGCCTTTCTACTTTAAAGTAGCTTCCTTTGTATGCCAACAGCAGGTTGAATGCTCTCTTATTAAGACTTATATAATAAGTGCATGTAGGAACTGCAAAAAATATTTTAAAAGTTTATTACTGAATTTAAAAATATTTTAGAAGTTTTGTAATGGTGGTGTTTTAATATTTTGCATAATTAAATATGTACATATTGATTAGAAAAATATAACAATTTTTCCTCTAACCCAAAATGTTATTTGTAATCAACTGTGTAGTGATTACACTTGAATTGTGTATTTAGTGTGTATCTGATCCTCCAGTGTTACCCCGGAGATGGATTGTGTCTCCATTGTATTTAAACCAAAATGAACTGATACTTGTTGGAATGTATGTGAACTAATTGCAATTATATTAGAGCATATTACTGTAGTGCTGAGTGAGCAGGGGCATTGCCTGCAAGGAGAGGAGACCCTTGGGATTGTTTTGCACAGGTGTGTCTGGTGAGGAGTTGTTCAGTGTGTGTCCTTTCCTTCCCCTCTCCTCTCTTCCCTTATTGTAGTGCCTTATATGATAATGTAGTGGTTAATAGAGTTTACAGTGAGCTTGCCTTAGGATGGACCAGCAAGCCCCAGGGAACCCCAAACTGTTCACTGGGATTTAACAGAACAGGTTTAGTAGCTGTGTTGTGTAAATGCATTGTTCTCAGTCTCCCTGCCAACAGCGAAAAATCAAAACAGCAGCTTTCCTTCTTTTTTTTCCTCACTTAAACTGGAAACACCTTTACTGATAGTTAGGACAGTTACACACACATACAAAGAAATACAAGACAATGATGTGTAGCACATGGGCTAATAATATTCTCACCCTCATCATCTGCTTCAGGACTATCTGCCCCAACCCCCTCATATTCCTTCTCTAGGGCAGCCATGTCTTCACGGGGCTCAGAGAACTCCCCCTCCCCTCATGCCCTCACCCACACACCGGTGCACAAAGACACTTGTGATCTAGGTGAGCCCAGGCCCTAGCGATGGCTGTGGTGTTGCTCAGCATGCACACAGCCCTCTGGACCTTGGCCAGGTTTCCACCAGGTACCGCAATGGGAGGCTGGTAATTAATGCCAGCCGAAGCCAGTGGGGGCACCAGTCCACAAACTGGATAGTATGCTTGGTCTTGATGGTGGCAATAGCATTGACATCTTTGGGAACCATGTGACCATGGTACCCCAGGCAGTAAGCCATGTATGTATTTACCGTGGCGAGGGTCACATTTCGCCATCTGGTTGGCTGGCTGAAAGCAAGCACTGGTGATCTCTGCTACTGTCAGCTGCTCATGGAGCCGCTTTCCTTCTCCACTGCCTCTTCTGTCCGCTCCATTTTGGATCCTTAGCTCAGCTCTCATGGAAGCATTCCCCTATGTGGCTTCTCACTGTGCCTCACTGCCTGGCTCCTGTAAGAGGTCAGGAAGCAGGTGAGAGTAATGAAGCCAGTACTTAATATGCATATTTGAAAGTATGTGCAATCACGTAGGACAGGATTTCTTTTTCTCTTTTCCCCTGTGGTAGTCTTTGCTGCACATAAGTGACATTACTAGCAAACTATTTGCTTGTTTTTTTTAAAGGCATATAACAGATGTGTTTATACCAAAGAGCCTGTTGTATTGCTTAACATGTCCCCATACAATGAGGAGGGTTTTGTAGAACTGTTGGTGACAAGAAGCTCACAGAAAGGCTTCTGAGTCGGTGAGGAATATTAAAAAGAAACCAAAGCCTCTTGAATCACCAAGGTTTTTGAGGTTTCTTTGTAACAGCTTGTATATTCTTGGGGCCCTTCAAGCTGTGAAATTGTCCTAGTATTCAACTCCTCCATGGATTTGGGTCAAGTTGAAGGTACTGAGGATGAGGACATTCCTGCCCATGAAGGATTTGTGGGGAGAAGATTAACCCTAAGCTACAGATGTGTTCCACCTGAATTGAAAATTATATTTGAGTGATAATTCTAGGATTGGTTCTGTATAGAGATGGTGTCAGGGAGGTGCAGGATGGAGATGGGAGATTTCAAGGAGCCTGGTCAGCAAGCTCTGAACCAGGTGAAACACTGAGGAGCTGTCGACGAATTTGGAGTTTCTTCATCATGGGGAGTAAGGGTTTCCAGGGCGGGGCAGGTAGTCAGTACAACCTGCCAGGAGCATGATCTATTTTCTCTCTCTTCTTTAATCATTATATTAAGCTGTGCATTCAGCAGTCTGTTGGTTGAGATAACCACGAATTTGTGTAGTTTGTCACTAGTGTTAAACAGTTTAAGTCAGTGTGTTTGTGATCTTTGTCTCCTTTTCCCCAAGCATTCTGGTTTTCTTGTTTAAACACAGTTCTAGTTTCTAGTCGGAACATTTTTGTACCTTATCTTTCCTCTGCAAGGGACAAAATTTACTGTTTTTGTAGGAATGAGATGCAGGGAAAAAACAAACCACCCCTACCCTGCCCCCACTTATAATAAGCAGTTTCTGAAGATGGGAGTCTTAAATCCATGGGAAAAGAGAGTGTCCAAGCATGTATCATCACCTCTAACATCAGGCTAGTAGTGTGACTTACAGACTTTGAGGTTCAGTCTGCAAACGGACATCTTATATTTCCCAAGATAACCGACCTCTCTGCTGAGTGGTTTTACAGTCATTCTGTCCTGGGACTTAAACATTGACTGCCCTGCTGACCTGGAAGGAAGCCCTATGAATAATAAATAGAGTGAGTAGCTGACCTGGGTCAGCATTGTCCGACCTTGGATCAGCTTAAGGCTTTAAATCCTCTCTTAGAACTTGCATTTCTGTCTTCTCCCTTTCCAGATGAGAGGAAATGGAAAGGGCTGCATAGAGCCTTGCAGGTACACCAGGACACGTAATCACTCCAGAGTTCCCAGTCATTCCTAGGAGTTGACTAGCATTGTCTTGTTTGGCTAAAATGCCAACCCCAGGAATAAGAGTCCCGTTTCAAACAATTCTGGCCATTCAGAGCCTGCTTTTGTGGTTGCTCATCCACCATCCTCCACTAGAGGGGCTTAGCTTGACTGCCCTTAGCCAGGCAAGCACAGTAAAATCTGTGTTTTATTCTGCATTCTTATGCAGAGATCTACTAGTTGAGATGGTTTTAGAGTAGGAAATGACATTGCCTCTCAGTGACAGGGATGGCCAAGCCTGCTTTGTATTTTGACTTTTTTTTAAACTGATGGATGGTGCAGCATGTCTTCATGTCTCCATGGTTGTTTGTTGCTAAACTTTATATAATGTGTGGTTTCATTCAGCTTGAAAAATAATCTCACTATATGTAGCAGTACATTATATGTACATTATATGTAATGTTAGTATTTCTGCTTTGAATCCTTGATATTGCAATGGAATTCCTACTTTATTAAATGTATTTGATATGCTTGTTACTGTGTGTGATTTAAACTTTTTTTTTCCTTTCTCCCTTTCCTAGTTGTGTGCTTCTTTTACAACAAGCTTCTAGAAACAGGTAGTTCTGAGAATTACTGAGCTATGTTTGTAATGCAGGTGTACTTAGGGAGTATGTAAAATAATCATTTTAACAAAAGAAATAGCTATTTAAATTTAATACTAACTATGGGAAAGGGTCCATTGTGTAAAACATAGTTTATCTTTGGATTCAATGTTTGTCTTTGGTTTTACAAAGTAGCTTGTATTTTCAGTATTTTCTACATAATATGGTTAAAAAGTAGAGCAATTGCAATGCACCAATAAAATGGGTAAATTTTCTGACTGTGACTGTTTTTACTTCCTAGTTAGGGCATAAAGGGGATCAATAAATAGCATCTTTGGAGTGACGAAACATTGCTGTTTGAAACTCCAGCTGCAGGGGTCTGGCCTCTGTGGGCACTTGGATGCAAACATATCTACACAGACACAAAAGAAATCTTTAAAAACAAGAACCTCTGACCAAATTTCTCTTGATTCCAGAGTGAACAGAAGTTCCTCCTGGAAAGAAAGAGGAATTTCTCTAGGTTAATCACCGGAGGCCTCTGAGTAAATGTTAATTTGGCTTCTTTTGGCGTATGTTCCTGCCTAACTTTACAGTGGCCGATTAATTTACTTTGGGCTAATTTGCAGTTCTAGCTGGGTAGAATTGAGAAACACTGGGGCTGGAGAGAAGGGTTAGCAGTTAAGAGAATGGACTGTTGTTGCAGAGCACAGGTGTTCAGTTCTCAGCAACCATGTCAGGTAGCTCACAGTCACCTGTAACACAGTGCTCACAACCTCCTGTAACTCAGCTCTGCAAGATCTGATGGCCTCCTCTGGCCTCCACAGGTGCCTCTATCACGTGTACATACCTGCATACAGCCACACAAAAGTACACCTAACCTTAAAATCATAAAATTGAAAGAAATGAGAAGTACCCTACTGAACCCTAACCAAGATAGGGGACTAATAGTCTGTTCTCTCCCAATGATAGGAAGGCCAGATGTATTTGTTTTGGTTTAGATGACATTGTACATATTTTTTCAGGTTACTCCCCTTAAATCTGTGAATGTAAATTAGCTTGTCCCTGCTGCACCCTCCTGAAGGCAAGGGAATACCTGAAAAGCCATGTTGAATAACTCTCAGGCCCTCGTTTAACACCCCCATACCCCCTACCCCCCCAAAAAAAACCACCTCCTGGTTTATTGTTGATTTTTATCTGTATTTTTTCCCTTGGGTTAAATCAAATATTTAGTACTCTATAGAGAGCCCTGTATTTTAAAAACTTGCAAATTCAGTCCATTTGGCTTGCTTGGGTAGTTTTTCCACATAGGGTGAAGTCCTACTCACATTTCTCTTATTTGTCATGAGAGATGGTCCCAGGTGCTCGGCACAAGATGGCGCCAATGAGCTGCAGAAATTTGACTTCACTTTGCCCCCAATCCTCCCACCCCCTCAAATCGCATCTCCTGTGTTTCTGGCTTCACTGAACAAGGCAGAAAATGCGTTCGTTATTTCTGGAGAAGGGAAGGGTTAATGAAGGGTACGGGGTTCCTGCTAAGTCAGCACTGGAAGCCCTCCTAAAACAATGGAGTTTGCTGAGTTTTCCTGGGGTCTCAGCCTCCTGCAGCCTCCTTCCTTACCCTGTGTGACAGCCCAGAAGGCCTCTGCCTTCTGATTGCCATCTCTTCCCCTTCCCGAGGAGTTTACAAACCTAAGCTGCTGGTGGTTAAGGCTTCTGGCCACTGTGCAAAGGGGCCATCTGTGTTTGATCAATCCAACGGGAAGGAGGGGGTGGGGGTTGTAAAGAGACTGAGAGCATTCCAGAGGAGTGAGAGACACCCAGAGATCAGAAAGAGAAGGCACCGCCCCCAACCCGCCTCCAAAGCTAACGGGCTGAGAGAAAGAGGCTGAAGCACACTCCTACTCTGGCCCCACTTAAGGCTGCCATGGGGCCCAGCGCTCCTCTGCTCCTTCTCGTCTTTTTGTCGTGGACCGGACCCCTTCAGGGACAGCAGCACCACCTTGTGGAGTACATGGAACGCCGACTAGCTGCCTTAGAGGTGAGGGATTCATTTCTCTTCTGGCCTAGCCCAGAATGGTTCTACATCTGTCGGTGCAACCAGTTGTCAGGGCTCTGGGAGTGACAAGATCAGGCTCTGTTAAAAGGCTGCAGAAAAGTACACAGCTTAGTGATGAGGAACCTCCTAATTACAGACTCTGTTTCCCCAACATCTAAGGATTGCGTAGCAAATAAACGCAGCACTTTCCCCTCAGGATTAGATGGAATAAGGGGACAGAGTGGAAATGAGTCAGAATTGGGCAGCATCTCAGAACTGGCTGGGTATAGTGTTGAAGTTTCCCAGGTAATCTGCCTGCAACTTCCTGTATCTTCCCCGGCACCCCAATGTTCGCACCCTTTTAAACGGTTTGAAGTCTGTAGCATCTTGATTTCCTGGAGGCTCAGATCAGAGCGCAGGCTGAAGGACTCTTAGGTGAATTAAACCAGGTTCCTTGCATGGGTTAGTGTCTGACAACTAATCTCCTTTGCTGTGGGAACAGCAGGGGCTGTTGGAGCTTTGCAGAGTTTGCTCCTTTTCCTGTCTTTACTCCCTTGGCTGGGCCTCTGCTTGCCTGGGAGTTATAACCCTGCAGCCCGCCCTCCCCGATTCCCCCATTCCTTCAGGAACGGCTGGCCCAGTGCCAGGACCAGAGTAGCCGGCATGCTGCTGAACTGCGGGACTTCAAGAACAAGATGCTGCCCCTGCTGGAGGTGGCAGAGAAGGAGCGGGAAGCACTCAGAACTGAGGCAGACACCATCTCAGGGAGGGTGGACCGGCTTGAACGGGAAGTGGACTATCTGGAGACCCAGAGCCCAGCTTTGCCCTGTGTGGAGTTGGAAGAGAAGGTGACTGGAGGCCCTGGGGCCAAAGGCAAGGGCCGAAGAAATGAGAAGTATGATATGGTGACAGGTAAGGATTTCAAAGAGGCCCAAACAATCTCAGAACTCCTTTCCCCTGCTCCTCTTCTCCTTGTCCAAAGCCACCGTGGCTCTATCTTCTAGAATATGTTTTGAGGAAACCCCTAATAACAAGTCCACTAAGAATTTCTAGAGGCCCATGTCTTATTGGTGCCCCAGCCATCTCTTAGCCCTCCATGAATGGACACATGCACAGGGAACTGTCTCTCTGTTCTCCACCCACCCTGGGGGGTTCCTGCCATAGAGGCCTCTATGTGCTTCTCCTGTGCTTCTCCTCAGACTGTGGCTACACAATCTCTCAGGTGAGGTCAATGAAGATCCTGAAGCGGTTTGGTGGCCCCTCTGGTCTATGGACCAAGGACCCACTGGGGCCAGCAGAGAAGATCTACGTGTTAGATGGCACACAGAACGACACAGCTTTCGTCTTCCCAAGGCTGCGTGACTTCACCCTTGCCATGGCTGCCCGGAAAGCTTCCCGAATCCGGGTGCCCTTCCCCTGGGTAGGCACAGGGCAGCTGGTGTATGGTGGCTTCTTGTATTATGCTCGAAGGCCTCCTGGAGGACCTGGAGGGGGTCATGAATTAGAGAATACTCTTCAGCTGATCAAATTTCACCTGACAAACCGAACAGTAGTGGACAGCTCAGTGTTCCCTGCGGAGAAACTGATACCCCCCTACGGGCTGACAGTAGACACATATATTGACCTGGCAGCTGACGAGGAGGGCCTTTGGGCTGTCTATGCCACACGGGATGACGACAGGCATTTGTGTCTAGCCAAGTTAGACCCACAGACGCTTGACACAGAGCAGCAGTGGGACACACCATGTCCCAGAGAGAATGCAGAGGCTGCCTTTGTCATCTGTGGGACCCTATATGTTGTCTATAACACCCGCCCTGCCAGCAGGGCCCGTATTCAGTGTTCCTTTGATGCCAGTGGTACCCTGGCCCCTGAACGGGCAGCGCTCTCTTATTTTCCACGCCGATATGGTGCCCATGCCAGCCTCCGCTATAACCCCCGTGAGCGCCAGCTGTATGCCTGGGATGATGGCTACCAGATTGTCTACAAGCTGGAGATGAGGAAGAAAGAGGAGGAAGTGTAAGCAGCCTGTGCCTTTGATTCTTAGCCCCTCACATTATAGTCTTACTAGATCTGCTCTTCGTTCTTCCAATGAAGGCCAGTCATTTGAAAAATTAGGCTCATATCCCCTAAGTTTTAAATGATAGCCAAATTCTCAGAGCCCTTTTGTTTTATGCAGAGCTCCAGGTCATAAGGAATTTTTAAGAACTAAAAAGTAAACATCTTAAATCTTTACTCCTGCTCTCTCCTGCTCGGTGTCCACAAATTTTAGTCCCAAAAGCAGAGCCCTGACCTTTGGATAGGTCAACCTCAGACAGCGGTGTGACCCGAGGGAGAGAACTCTCGGAGACATCTCTGCCCTCCTTCCTTCACCCTCCAATGTGGGAAGAATGGGCCACCCCCACATCACTTTGTATGGCAGCGTTTCGCATTAAAAGGAAAACCCACCATTCCTTGCCTGTGTGTGTTTGGGGTAGCCCTCAGATCAGAGTTCCCATGACTGTTTCCTTCCTCCTGCCATGCTAGGGATTGGCTGGGCTCCACTCTCTCCCTTGGGAACTTCTCTAGTTACATATTTTACTGTGGGGCGCTTTAGTAGGCTGGACCAAAGGCCTCCCCGTCCACACCCACTGTACTCCACAGCGGCCACAGGGAACCACCAATGGCACAGAGCCTCTGACTGCTGGACACTGGAGCCCAGGGGCAGGGCTTCCAGTTCCAGCTCTTGGTGGGTTTTGAATCGGAAAGTGGATCTGATTGGCTTTGAAGCCTCGTGCAGAAACCAGGCTGCAGCACACAAGTGTCTAGTCTCACCTCTGAAGTGGATTCTGTCTCCAAGCCCAAGTCCTCACTCCCACCTCCAGTACTGGCTCTTCCCGGGACTGGGTTGCACAATCCTTGGTCTGAACCACTGGATTTTCCTGCTGCCACAGCGTCTGCGGTTTGGGCAAGGAGGAGGGGCAGTGACCATCCCAGATGTTGGCCTCACCAGTTCCTCAACATAACCCCTTCTCTCCACCCTCATCTGCCCACCCTCCTACCCCAGTCCTGGAACCCTACTGAAGCCATCCCCGGAGTCTTGGAAACTTAACCCCTGCTGGTGTAATAACCTAACCTTATGCACCAGATTGTAGGGGGCAATCCGGAAGGTGGAAAGGACTGGAGGAGTACCGGGCCTTGCACTCTACTCTGAGGATTTGCTGGTCTCTGAATGATGTCTGTTTCCCAGGCCTCATCCCCATG